TTGCATCCGGCCAGACAGGTTTTCGGCCAACAGATCATCCGAGCCCCCCCCCCAACACCCCGCGCGGCCCGGATTTTCCCGCCAGGTCGGCGGTACTGAGGGCGTTGCCCTGGCTTCTGGTTCTGCCGCCCGTGCGCGCGCCGCGCGGTATGCCTTACCTCTTGGCCCGGCAGGTGCTGGGTCCATGGTGTGGCTGGTGGGGCGGCAAGGGTTGGAGACTGCGGCAGCACCAGACGAGCGACCAAATAAGGTCCGCGGTATGTGGACGCTGGCTGAGCCACGCTGGCAATCAACCCGATCCGCAGATTCGGAAATCAGTACTTACTGCCTGTCATCCGCTGATTCGGCACACACGTCCGCTGCCATCCGCTAAATTAGCGGCTGGGGTGCGCGGCTTCCGGTCCGTTGGAAAATATCCGTTAACGCCCAAGCGGAATCCGCAGAGTCCGCTGACTGGCACCAGCCGTCCGCTGCCATCCGTGCCACGTCAGCAAGAGAGAGAGCGGGGTCCGCTAAATTAACGGATATTTAACGGACGGCACCCTCGTCCGTTATTAACGGATCCGGGTGGCCACCTCTAGCGCACAACCGTTTCGCCAAAATAATCACATAACAACAACATTGCGCACAAATGCTCCTATTTGGACCTTACCGACATTTTCCACGAAAGCTTGTTTCCTTTACATGCAGCATATTCCTCACAGTTTCCATCACATCAGTACTGGCTCCTCCCCTTAGAATAGGGCGCTTCCATCGTAATACTTGGATATTGCATATCGCTGTTGGGCTACCACAATTCTCTTTCCCCTTTGAAGACGTTGCGACGCAGTAGTTCTGTGTCAATATGTGTGTTTTTTATATGCTAATGTGGCCTCTGCTGCAATAGTTTGATACGCATATCGGCAAACAGCAACCGCACGCTTCCCCATCAACACCACAACCATGCCCACAAGCTCTGGCCGACGCAGCAAGTTACGGGTGTCGTGAGGAGACCTGCGGAGCGGCACATCATCTCACTTTTCTGTGGCGTCCGTTTCAAATGCCAGTCGATCAATGCTGAAGTTGGACCATCTCCCCTGGAAATTCTCCCGCTCCAGCTAGATCGACAAGGGCCTCGCCTTGCATGGTCCTCACGTGCTTTGTTCGCGCAGCTGTTCCCTGATCATATTTTCACCGGATAGGAAAACACCCGCCTTGCGCCCTGAAGATTGCCAAGGAGCAATGGGAACCATTGGCAACAGTCATCAAACTAAAGGCTGCGTCAAGATGAACCGAACAAAGTTCAGCTAGGTGGACTATCCTTTTCAGTGCAAGAGGTGACCAGGCATCGCAACACAATTCCTCAATGTAAGAGTCGTCACACGTGCAGGCAGTGACTCGAGCGAAGGATGATGGTCATCAGATTGCACGACGGGTGGAGCTGGTGCAAAGTGGCTAACACACTCTCACTGCACGGCCCGATGTCGATTGAGCGGTTCTCCTTCTGCACCCGACACGCGCGTGGCGCCTGGACGGCGTATAACACATTGGACGTGCAGCACCCAAAGCTGAAATCGACAAACGGATATGGCCTTCGAGGGGCGCAAAACGGTCGCCGCTCGTGCGGGTATTGGCACACCCACATCGTGCCCGTAGGGCGCGACCTTTCGTTCACGGACACCGTACGGGAGATTACTAACACGGATCACATGCTTGAGGTGTACTTTTCATTCATTCGCTGGGCTGACTGCACCGCCCCGTACACCACTCCCGCACCGGGTTGTACTTCAAGTAAATCACGCGTGTGACTGATCCCCCAGTACACCTTCGCACTGGGATCCCGCCGCCACCGCCGCACCTTTTGTCCGACCCCGTGCCATTCCCGCCCACTTGAGCCACGTGGTGTGACGCCATCCCCCCCGTGATGCCTGCCAAGTCCCTGTGCCCCATCCCGGCGAGTGCTTCCGAGAGGACGGCCTGAGCCATGAGAGTCCCAAGGCCTTGACGCACAAGCACGCCGGCCGGACGACTTGTACGAGCGGGCCGTCCGCGGCAGCCGGGCCCTCGGCGCCCCGCCCGATCGGTGCCCCATCTCCGGCCGGAGGGCGCGCAGGCCGGCGGCCATGCTGTCCCTCGTGGCGGGTTCGCTGGCGCTCATCCCCGCGGCGCTGGCGATCGCTGCGTGGGGCGCCCTGCCGCGCGTCACGGTGTTTGTACTGGCGCACATGGCTGCTGCCGGCTTCGCTGTGTGCGTCGGCGCGGCGGACTTCTGCGCGCACAGAACTACTGGGCTGCTGGGGAAGGTGAGAGGAACGGCAAGGGATGGGCGGGGCGTGGGCGTGGGGGGGGGTGGGGGCCGGGCAAGGGGGGGCTGTGGAGATTGTGTCGGTGTCGGTTATCCTGCCGTGGCGTTGTATTGCCGGGGGGCGAGTTGGGAGATAGCTGCAGGAGGATGTGCAAGGGGGGTTGGCGGACTGCACTGTGTGTGTGTGTGTAGCATTGATCCTGCCCGCAGACACTACGGTGCCAGGCCGCCATGTGACGACCATGGTCAGCGAACTGTGCTAAAGTTAGCGCCTGGAGAGTGGGCGCCCTCGACAGCTCAAGGTACCCATGGCCGGCGATCTTGTGCGTCTGGGCGACCTTCCGACTTCTTGGGATCCACCGAAATGGAACAATGGCAATTGCCCTTGCGCCATGTCTCTGGACGCATTCGCGGGTGCCGCAGTGGACCAAGGCCGCTTGACCGGATGATGTGTCTGCGGCGCAGAACGACAGAGGTCGCATGGAAGCATGGGGACTGGTACTGATGTGGCCGTTTCATCTGGGGCTGCGCATCAGGCTGCATTGGAAGCGCAGCAACTCCAGAGAGCCCATCTACAACGAGATCTTGCCAGGCTGGTATGCAAGCCATCTGCTATTGCAAGTCTGCGCCAGTCTAGAATGTCTATTACCTGCAGCTCTCCTGCGAGCTGTGCGCAGTATCGTCGGTGATCATCTCATCTGTTTCCAGAATCAATCAAAAATGACAATTTTTGTCTCCCTAGTGCATCCCTGCAAGAACTCTGGAATATGCATTCAATGCACTAGGACATTTGCAACAATTTTCCTGCTCAAACAGGTATCTTGGTGGCTGGCCTCCTAATGCGTCTTCCATGCCACCTGGCTCACCAGCAGTTTTGGACGTCACTTGCGAGTTTCCCAGAACTCAGAGCGGCAAGGAGTATTTATGCCTTCCCACGTGGGACACACATGGTGAGGGGCCCATTCCCCGCATCCCTTCATCCCTCCAAGAGCAATGGGCAAGAACACCTTCTGCGAAGCTTCATTAGACATCGCATTCCGCTCACTTTGGCACTGCATGCATAATCTATCTGCAATTGTTGTGGTGAGGGCATTGGCAGACATCGAATTCCAGTTTTCTTGATTGGTGTCCTTTTCTTGGGATAGCACTTGCCTGGGGCAGCAATGTCGTTGCAAGAATTCAAAAGTTGAGTACAGAGGGCATTGGAATCTTTTTAGGCAAACCTCCAACTGTTGCCAAATTCCATTCCCTTGAGCCCTACATGTGTTGTGAGTCAGTCACTGTCATGGTCAGGGCACAAGTCAACTGAATTTGAATGCCCTCCTTGTGCACAGTCTTGCGATCTGTCTTGATATCTTGTATGTGCATGTGTTGCAGCACCAGTGGTGCCCCAAATCGATCAAGGTGTTGAATGGGCACTCGAACGGCACAAAGCTGGCCGAGGTGTCTACGTACATTGTGCCCATGGTCATGGGCGCAGTGTGCTGGTTTTGTGTGCATGTTTTATCAAGGGCAAGTTTGCAGCCGATGGCAATGAGGCTATTGAGATCATCAAAATGAGAAGACCAAAAGCAAGGTTGAATAAACGGCAGAATGCAGCCTTACAGGCTTGGATATTGAAGCACCAAGAGGAGGGTGCACAAGTGAGAACGAAATGAGATTTGTTTGAAATCGTGCAGAATTCATCATGCTAGTAGAGTTTCGGATAGTTGGTGGTGTGGAGAACATATTCTGAATCGATAACCACATGGATGGCCATTGCAGAGAATGCAATCCACCAAAGTAGCAGAGAGCATTCATGAACTGGCCTATTATTGGGATCAAGATGCTATATGCCATGCATCTTGACATCGGGATGGTTGTACCCTAGCACAGGACATGAATGAACGTTTTGATTCCTTTGAATTTCGATTGTTTGTGAAGCAATTGAACACCCAGAGTCTGACTCCATCCTTGCAATTGCAATATGGGCCGTTTTCCACCTTTGCACAAGATGCTACCACGGGGTCTACTGGATGGCATGAGCTGCTAGATTGGAGGCATCAGTCGTCCGGCAGGGCTAGACTTGTGTGATTAAAATTGAGGGAGAAGGCACAGGCAGCATGTATGCCTGTGCGCATGAACGTTCATTGGTCCCTAATCCAATGGTTATTTGCCTGTGAACTTTCGTTTGGAAGTGTCTTTCGTTTGTGTGCAACGAGTCCCATGTTGTTCCACCTCCAAACAGGAGTATGCTGCAATGAACCTGCTGGAAAAGCTCCCTGCAAGCCTTTATGCCTACAAGGAACAAATCTGGTCTGCTGCGTGTGCATGCATATCATCCCCACCATTCTTATCACCCTGTATGTGTCTATTTCCAATTTTTTTCTTTGATGTTGAGTGCCAATTGGAGAAGTGTGCAGAGTCTTCAGTTCAGACGTCCGGAGAGCTCGGCGTGGCTTGTGGGAGAGGGTATCTTTTGAGGTGGGCTGGCAGGAAATCTCATTAGAGGGGAAGTGAACCTGGCATCGACCGGAGCTGCAGGGCCTTGTGATGGGTTGCCAATGGAGGGTTGGGAGTTGTTGCAGCTCATTCAGGCACCGTGGTGGGAGCATCGCTCCAGGCAGTGGGATGGCACAGGGCATCGCCTGGACATGGTCATTACCACTGTGCCACCAGGTGGGCATGACCTGGGGATTTGTGGAAGGGCCTTGTCTTGAATTCCATGGAAAGCTCGTGCAGGCTGGACGGCAACCTAACTCTGATGACACGCAAATTGGAACACCAGATGGCATCAGGGTTGGTTGGCGTGTTGCCAATAAACTCACGAACATTTGCTGCTCGAAAACCTCAGAAGACGAACATTGGAGTGTTGTGGGCAATCTCCAACAGCACATGAATGGAGCGTTCAGATGCCAAGCAGCAGGTGCTGTTACGCAGAGCTGCGGACAGGGAAACGCAAAAGGCCCAGTTTTCGAAGGTCATGGCATATGCAAACACATAGTAGTCATAATCGAGAAATACATAACAAAGGAGTGCACATTGCTGGGAAAGGAGGCCGTCAACTCCCTTCACGAATTATACCGCAGGAGCGCCATTGCCCCAAAGTTCACACGTATCTTAGTAGTAAATTGCCAGATTCTCACTGACGCCGCTCATCTCCCACAAAGAGCCATGCTGAAGCCCCGACCGCTCTGAAAACGCCCCAAAGCTCACACCCCTCGCAGCGGACAACTCGATTCTCACCCGCGCCACCTCCTTCCGGCGGAAAAGGCGGCGCTGGAGGCCGGAACGCTTGGCAACCATCAAGACTCCAGGCCGGCCCCGCGCAAACGTCCATCCCATCCACGACCGCGACCCCAATCTCGTGCGTCAACAGCCCCGGAGATTGCGCCCGTTGCACCGGGTCCAATTCCGCGCTCCGGCGCGCGTTTGCTCCTTGCAGTCAACACCTTGCCGCCTTCACAAGACGTCTTTCCACCCCTCTCCTCGACTACAGACACGACCCCCCCCACGAGACGAACCCCTCTCCCGCGAGACGAACCCCTCTCCCGCCTTCCCCACTCTCCGCCCCCCGTTGCGCCGTCCCTCCTCGCCTCCCCTCCCACCGCCCTGCCCTGTCAGACGTCCCGCGGCGATCAATTTTGCACACCGGCCGCATTCGCCGATCCCTGCGGCGAGCCCTGTGGCCAAGGCCGGGCCAGCGGGGGGTTGGTGCCCCCCCCGGCGTGGCCGCATCCTTCCCCGCCCGCAGATGGCCACCCGCAACGAGCCGGCGGGACTGGACATGAGCCTCGAGGAGATCATCCGCCGGCAAGCCGTCAAGCCGCCCGTGGGCCCCTGGCCCCTCCGGCCGGTCGGGATCAACCACACGGAGGGGAGCTGGATGCCGATGATGGGAGGCTGGGCCCGATCGGGGCGATGGAGCGTCGGCAGGGGGCGCGGGGGGTACTGGCGCGGCGGGTGGGGGGGGCCGGACTGGCGGGGAGGCGGGCGGGGCAGGGGAGGGAGGGAATGGGGGCGGGAGGCGCAGAGGAGGCCGCAGGCGGAGGAGATGCGGGCGGCGTGCGGACAGGTGAGGAAGCCCGGGAGGCGAGACAGGCTTGTTTGGTTGGAGGGCAGGCTGATTGAGTGTTGCTTGCGCGGATGCGTCGAGGTGACGTCTCGACAGCGATCAATGTGGGGTGTGGGGCCGGTGTGCGAGGGGCACGTCCGGGCCGCCCTGCGGCGCTAAAGGCCGCGCCAACGGCGTTCAGCATTGCCTCCGATCGGAAACTGACCACCAAACGAGACGAAATGTCTGCGAGCGGGGCTGCGCTGGTTTGTGCCCGTCTCGGGGGGGCAGTTGGGATGGTGGCCGGGGGGGCTTTGGAGGACGCTGTGCGCTGGATTGAAGCGGGGAAGAAGCACAGGGGAGGGGAGTCGACCTGTGGGTCTGTGTGATTGCATTTGATGGCATGTGTGGGAACATACACCCTGTGCTTTGAAGACGGTGGTGGGAAAAGACGCGAAGAGTGGCTTGGCTGGGTTTGAGTCGCTCCCGAGAGCGATCTGGCGCGTGCACCATGGTTCACAATGAATACCAAAGGTGCGGGTAGAGGCCACTGGGGCTAGGAATCGAGGCGATTGGGCTGTGGGTCAGGTGTGAAGTGTAGGAATCCCATATTGTTCAATTTTTGCAACATGTTAGTACATGGATTAGGCGTCGTGATTTGCGATGGTTGAAAGAGAATCCTACCAAACAGGTCTTGTTCTGTTCCCCACAGCTGCCCATCTCTTGCTGTGTCTGATCTGCTGACGAAATGCAATGGTATTGCAAGGCTTGAGACAGCCCATGGCGTTGACAAGCGCTTTGCTCTTTGCAGCTGAGGGAGAAATGTGCCATGACGACTGAGGGGACAGATATCGTTGTCAAGATGAGAAACATCGAAATCATCAGGGTGAGTGTGATGTTTGCTGCTAAGAAAAGGGTTGCGATTTTCGTGAGTGTCAGAGGCCGTGATTGGAGCCTGTGGTGTCTTAAGCAAGAAAGCTCCAAGATGGGTGATGATCTACTGTCTAATATTAGCACTGATTTGCCAGGGTTGTTGGTAGTGCACAGTGGTTTGCTACCACACAATTCAGCAGCTTCAGGTTCCAGAGTGGCAGCTATTTCTATTGGGTCTGCAAAATCATGATAGTTTTGTCTTCCTTTATGTTGATGTAATCGGCAGGAGAGCAAGGTCAAATCAATTGACAGTTTGCCCCACTTGATATATAATTTTTGAATAACCCCCAAGGAAAAGAAGTGGCAGAATCAGAATATCTGAAAGGTAGTCTTGTTCAGGTGCACATGCCAGCAGACAAGTCGTTCGTGAATAGAGGGGTCTCTGGACACAATGTTGTTGACAACAGCATGTTGTTCATGGGCATCTCAGCTGAACTCGTGACTGGAATGTGGAGGGCTTCTCCAGTTGTTACATGGTCCCCATTCTGCGTGCCCAGTATCTCTCAGCTGTGTGGACTGAAACCAGGAGGTCGGGTGGGTGTTGTGGACACAACACATTCGGATCACCCCAAGGACTGAGTTCAATGAATCACGTGATGTGTTGGTATCTACTGGGGAAGCTGATGCTTTGCAACTGCGTGACTTGCAGGTGAAAGAAAATGGAGACATCGTCCTGAGCAGTGCGGGGGAGAAAACTGTGAGTCCCTGCCATCAGCAACGCCAGTCCCACAACGGGTGTTGGTGATGGTGTTTTTGCTGCAGATACTGTCTGAACCTGTGCTCAGCCCCAGGAGTACATGTGCACAGCGGCCAAAACTATATTTGACATTCTCCCCACTCCCGGCAGCGCAAATCACAGCAGCGTTCCCAACGTACATCCCAGCAGGGGTGCGGCACGGAGCAAACCTTCGAGCACACCCAACGCTTTGATTTCTGGCGGCAGCTCTACGTGCAACTGCAAGCACCTCGTTTGTCATTTGCGAAGTGGAGTACAGAATCGTGGTGTGCAAGAACTGTTTGTTGATCAGCTTGACGGGTGCTTCATTGGATCAGCTGCATGGAACATTCCCTTTCATTCATCAAAGACATTTGTAACTCTGGCTGGACTCCGGGCATCTATCACACAAAGGGTGCGAGCATCCTCCTAATCTAGCAAGCCAGAGCAAGAGGTCCGAACAGAGTAACGGACAAATGCGCTACGCTGGTACACAACGCCCGTGTGTGGAATGGTGGCCACCACCATTGAGAAAAGGGCGGCCACGCGAAGACCTGGCAAATGCCTGCAAATTTTGAGATCAGCGAGCCATGATATCTCCTCCCCCTCCTTTCCTTCAAACCCCCATTACTTTTGGTGTCATTTGCACGCGACGTTGGGGTGTGTTGCGCCTTGCACAATCAATTTTGGGTCACTTGTGTGCAGGGTGCCAAGCATGTCCTGTCGCCAGCTGCTTGCTTATTTCATTGTGCCGTAGGGCCTCCACATGGCATTAGGGGATTCTGTGGTGCTGACGTGCCGTGCTCTGCTTGCTTGCCCACAGCCCTGGCTGCTACACACACTCAACGACATACTGAACCTTGTGGGCGTTCAAGTGCTCCTGGGAAAGGCCACCAGCGAATGGAGCGTGAAGGATGGCAGGACGCTAATGCGGTTCTACGACGGCCTGGTAATATTTGTACTACAGCAGTTTCTGCAGGGCCAAACGGTGCCCTTTACACCTCTGTGGTCGGCACCGCTGGAACTGATTTTCTCATCGCAAACTCTTCAATACTTCCAACAACACAATATGTTTATGGGCACATCCACCCCCTCACTGTGCGCAGCTCCCAAGCGATAGCTCTAAACATCTCTTCAGTTGTGTCCTAATATGTCTAGAAATAACTGTGCACCCACTAAAGGACATCAATAGGCCATGGGTGCTTAGAACTACCAAGACCTCTGGATTGCCACTAGATCAGTCATCATGAGTTTCACATGCGCACGTGGTCATCCAACAATGTACATAAACCGTTGTTTCTCCCCGATTCACCTGTATCTCCTGCACCCAAATGTTCATACAATGTATGAACAGTTCTCCTCCCACCATAATGGAAAGTGAATTTGCACATTGTGGTGAGGCACACTCTACGCAGATACTGTGTCTCCTAAAAACCAGCGCATTGATTGAATTTTAGCTAATTGAACCACTATTCTATCGAGATGGCTGCATTATCAGCACCATAAGACTATCATTTTGCGTGGTGTCCATGTGCCTTTTTATTCGATAGTTTGCTGTGTTGCTGGGTTGCCCATCATGCTTTTGCCTTCACAACATTGGCAATACTGCTTTCTCAGAGTGTTTCTTGATATTATTCGCCCTTTTGTGTACCAGCTACAGTATTGTACTTTATACCATATCTACACTTGTCAATACTGACTTGTACTTTGTGTGTTGTGCGAAAGCAAGATATTTTACTAGTTTCGTTGATCATCAATTTGCGCATCCCAACAGCACACTGCTGAGTTGGCCATGATGGTGCTTGCTTGTGCGCAGGTTATCCAGGCAAAGGGCGCTCAGAACCGTTCCCGGGCGCAAACAATCAAGAAGAGCTTTAACCAATCGAATGCGAAGGCTGCAGTGGAGGCGACAATGGCATCCGATGCTGTTGGTAAGGCACTTGTCACGATTCGTTGTGGTCATGGCATCTCGAACATACCTGGTTGTGGAGGCTGAATAATATCGTGCTGAGTCACGCTTGTCTCATACACACCAATGGCAACAATTCACAACGTGTGCAACAGTGAGAGTCATGGCCGAGTCATATGGTAAGAGCGTGACATCCTTGTGTCATATTCGGTGATGCGTATGAATACAATTTCTGACGGAGCAATGTTAAATTTGGTGTTCAATGCCATCAGCGCCCACAGGACGCAAAGTAGGTTCCTCTGCGCTGCGTAAGTGATTGATTAGAGATAAAATGGTAGAGCGTACTGTGCTTATCTCTAGTCTGCCACCTGCCGTGCGCATTTCCTTTTACTTCTGTTGTTCATTTTAATTCTGAAGTATTCTGTTGCTTAGCGCGGTTGCTGCCCAGCGCCTGCCTGCTGTGCACTATCATTCTCACAATTTAAACAGCAAGAGATTGCCTGTTTCAACAGAAAGTGGTGTGAAATGTATCCATCACAGCAACACAAAGTACGGCACACTGCTGATGGCATGTGGCTCTGCTGAGCTCGGATATCAGGCATCGTAATTCTTTCTTCAGTGGCCCACAACGACCTCGCAGTGCATGGCAGAGGAACGTCTGCGACAAGAGCACACTATGTGCACACGCCCCCTTGACAGAAGCAGCCATGCCACATAAAGGATCCCCCCCCGCTCCTTTTTTCTCTTTAGGGAAGACAATACTTTGGATTTCGTATGCTGAACGTCAAATGGGCGCTAAGCTGGAGAGGGTTCGAGGCCATGGACGCTAAGACTATGTAATTGCACAGAATCAAAGTGGCGTAAGATGGTGCGCAAGTATGCCGCTGACCAGCAACAAACAGGTCATGACTTGTTCCAAAACCTCCATCAAGCAGTCAGTCTTCAATGGGGGGTGCTCCCACTTCCCACCATGGCTTGTGGCATCCATGTTTCAACCCGTCCAATCCCTACAAAACTGACTCTTATTCCTTTTCACACCTTGAAGGCGCATCGCAATTTCAGGTTATGTTGCTGAGTCATCATGACATCGAAATAGGGATCGACGCTGAGAGAGGTGGGGATTCTAAGCTCAGCGTCCATTTGACTCTCAGCGTGCAAGGTTCAAAATAGTGACAGGCCACCGTTGTTGTGAGACTTCCCTCCACACTGCAGTGCTCGTCGCGGGGCCACTCTGGCGAGGACGCACTGCAGTCGACGGTCCCGACCGACCGCCAAGAGGTGCAGGGAACCAGCGGTGCTGAGCACAGCACTGAAAATGTGCGCACGATGGCCTCGTGGCCGCCAGTGCCGCGCTGCTCGACGCGCTTGCGCGGATGAGTTCAAATTGGGCTGAGTGCCTGCCTGCTGTGCGTCGCAGCTGCGGCGCTCGGGCTTGTGACGAGCACCAGGCCGTGCGCCGGCCAGGAGGTTAGATACACGGGCGCCAGCGGGGAGGTGCGCATGGGAATCGGTCAGGGCGTGGGCTGCCGAGGGGGGCCCGTGAGGAACCGTCACGTGCCGATGGACGGGATGGCTGGCGAGAGGAGAGAGGGGGTGGGCGGAGGCGGCTCTGGGCGCAGGGGCTACGAACACGTGCCTCGGGTTGGGCCCGGGGGCCCCCATCGGGATGCTGACGACAAGGCGGACGATGACGTGGGGTACGGCCAGTGGGGGGGCGCCGCCCGGGTGGGGCCTCAGGAGTCGCAGATGGACTGGAGCAGCAACACTCACAGCGTGGGCAACGGGCACCAGGACGATGCGAGCGGGGCGCAGCATGGCGGGCCCGCGCCGGGGGACATGGAGTTCATGGACGAGTCGGGATGGGGGGACCAGGATTGGGGCCCCAAGAGGGCGACGGGCCAGTTGGACCCCAGGACACGGCGGCGCCTGGCGCAGGGGAGGTACGCGCCCTATTAGGCCGGGTGGGGCGGGGCGACCCGCGGCAGACGGGGATTTAGGGGTGGTCCTGCGGTGGCCATGGCGACAAAATGACGTGCATATAGGGGGCAGTTTCAGGGTCGAATTTGGGCGCTGCTCGACCGCGAGGCAGGGAGAAGTTTCCTGGCGCCTTCAAAATTGGCGCGAAACGAGCCAGCACAAATAGTTTGGGGCAGCGTGGATGAGAGAGGATTCTGGCCGGGAACGTTGCCTGGTGTCCGTCAGAATTTATGAGAGGTACGACACGGACGCGGGGCCGTCGGGAGCATCCGTGGCGTGTGGGCCACGCGCCCCGGGAAGGGGGTAGGTGCCCCAAATCATGCGTTAAGTTGGCTGCTCCAGTAATGCCTAGATCAGAACCCACAGCTCTAGCTGTGCCGCAGGCTAGGGGCGCTACATACACCCCTGCTGGAGATGTGGGCGGCCACCAGCACGGTTAGAAACTGCGCACACATACGCACCAAGCGCGTCTATGTCCCCGAATACAACAAGCAGCCTCGCCTACAAGAAAAGTCCAATTACAAATGTGTGCATACACTCCAGATCGCCCCTCGGCATGCGCCTGTGGCATGGCGAAGGCTTACGCAGTAAATTCGGCTCCATGCTCTTCTCAACTGTCTCCAGAAAGTGGTTGAGACCTCTACCCGTGGAAACGTGCGAGGCAGGTGCTCCTGCCATTCGCACTGGATCGCACGGAACGTGGCTCGTGTTCACAAAACAGTTGCGCACAAGTTGCACGCACCCTTCGCTATCGCTGTTCTCTTCGCAGCCATCCCTCGCCTTCCATGCCCACCCCCGCCGCCACGCTGCGTGCAATGGAACCAGATACACAAGCGACGATGTCAAAACTAAGCTCCAAGATAGCAAGACCTCCCGGGAGCTACTGGCGACGAACATCCAATCGCCCAGCAAGACATCTCAACACTGGAGTTTGGGTGCCAAAGAACTGATCAGGCATCCCAGTCCACTGTCAATGCACCATAAGTGACCCTTCACCTTCTGCCTGCCCAGTAATCCCAAGCAGCCCACAGTGTCCCGCACCCACTCCTCCCAAACCATACACCACGGCACGCGCCTTTGTACACCCGGCATGGGCCTCCCACGCAGATGCCCCATGCCGTTGGGCGCGTCAGCCAGTGGCAATGACGCCAAACCACTGCAGCTGCACATCTAACTAGGTGGAAGATGAACCAGAAGTACACATATAAATCCGTGAGTGCAAGGCCCCCAACACAATATACCCATACACCAGACATTCCGTGACGTGCAGCAAGTACATAACTCAATCCGGTCAACAGGGCGGCTGCTGCTGACCGCCGCTCTGTTGCAGATCCGCCGAATTCGCCCGAGAGGCCAAGGGCGTGGCCTCGGACCCTGACGCAGGCGAGACTGGCGTTGCTGTGGCCGTACTTGGGTAGTCTCGGCCCATATGCACCTCGGGGCAGGGAGAAGCTCCCCCTGGCACCTCACCATTCCCTGTCGATAGCACACCTGACACAAGTACCCCGCGCTGCACGTCGGCATCGAATCCCCAGGTGGCACTGCGTTCCCGCCCCTGCTCACGTGCGCTGTGCACAGTTATTATGGGATCTGAAATTGCGCTGGTGGACACGAGCGTCTCAGAATGCGCTCTGTCCACGTTCCCCCTTGACCTGTCCTCAAAACGCACCCATTCCACTGCCTTGCCCAGCACCACGCCCCTGTGCTCGCTTCCCAGAGCCTGCTGGTCTGGATCAGCGCCTGGCCGGCCCTGATCCTCAGGCTCAGTGTGTGTTGATCGACCGCTGTAGAAGTCTTCTTGTTCCTGTGGGGTGGAATGGATAGTTGGCAGCTTGGGCAAAGGTGGGACCTCAGCAACACGCGATGTGGATGACTTCCTGTCCAGCAGCAGAGCCCGCTTTGAGGAGTTGCGGGTGCTGCCATCGTCAGGCCCGAATGACGTGAGCTGTTCCAAGGCCAAATGCACGGCGGACATCGATGGCCTGTGCTGCGGATTGATGTGGAGGCACGAAGCGGCCAACTGCAGGACAGCATCAGGCACTGTCAGGCGCCAGTTGCAGCAGCAACAAGTTCTGCTGGGAGGACAAGACAAGAGTGTGCCCTGCAAGTGTCGCAACAGGGAGGTGCGTCTGTTGGAAGGATTGAGAGATGCTAGGGGACCTTAGCAATTGGATTATGCACCGCTTCCACGCTATGGCGTGCTTATGTTGCAGGTATGGTCAAAATGTCAGCACCCACAGTCTGAACTGCATGCAGTGCAAGCAGCTGTTGAAAACACATGCCCCAGCATGCACCCACTGCCAGCATGAAGCTGGAAAAGGGCATGGCACTCTATTGCTTCTATGGCAAATAATCTCGTCTGAGGGACCTCTATTCGCCACTGAGCAAAGCAGCTCCTCAAGTCACATTCGCAGCAATGGCCACTGCATCCACCAATCAATGCAGCAACTGGGCTCGAACACATTCACATGTTGAGACACAAAGTCTCCAATTCACAATTGTCTGATCGAACACCATCCACTCCACAGTAAACTGTCAGCCACTGGGAGAGATCGATGAGTGGCAGCCAATTCACCTTCTGCAAGGCACCAGCTGCACAGGCAGGTGGCACCTGTCACCACCCTCTGGAAACAAGGCGAGATTTCGCAACGAGTCTGCCCTCAGTGCAGCTTTGGCTCACCTCAACATAGGCCGCCAGCTGCACCTCTGACACCTGGTCTTCCATGGCTGGGTCAGCAGCCTTGATCAACTCATCCAGTGTGTCCTTCCTTCTTAGCACCCACTGCACTAAGTGCTGCTCGCATTCTGGTCGCTTCATGTCCACAGCATGGCGGCCCGTCAGCAGCTCCAGCATGACAACGCCAAAAGAGTATACATCTGACTTGGTGGTCACACGCCCCGTTGTTGCATACTCAGGGGCCACATACCCAAAAGTTCCCAGAATCGCAGTGGACTGGGCCGTCGCGATTGACCGTCTGCCACTCCTCGAGTGAGTGCTCCTTGGCATTATTGTTGCCAATCCAAAGTCGGAAATGTGGGCCTGGAGAGCACAGCAGCAGAGTCAGGCACAATCACTGAAGCCTGACAAGCTGCCCTGAATGGGCTCATTGCACCAGAGGGCTCTAGCATACTGCATCACACACTGAATGTCAGTGCAGGGTTCAAAACGATTTGACGCACTTTCACAACACCACTGCCAATACTGCGATCGTAGGCAAGCCCCAAAGAGGCCAAGACCTGTAGGCAGGCCCAACCCCGCCCTTCTTTTCAGAAGGTCCAGTTGACGGCCCAGTGGCACAATATCAAGCATGAACACGGCTCACCTCCCCATATCTGTCAAGCAGTACGTTTTCTGACTTGAAATCCCTGTGGACAACAGACAGACCCTCCCCTTCATGCAGGTACGACAGTCCCTTGGCGGCGCCTATGGCTGCCTTCACCCTGCCCTCCCAATCCAGACGCATGTCCTTGCGATCCAAGAGATCTCGTAGATTGCCCCATTCCATCAGGTCAAACACGCAAAGCCGATTGTTGCCCTCGACACAGGCACCGAGCAGCCGAACAAGGTTGGCACTGTTGCACTTCTTGGACAGTGTTGAGACCTCGATGTAGAATTCCCTGTCTCCCTGCTGTCCCCTGCAGCACAGTCGTTGCCATAATCAGTGCCACACCTGGTTGAGAGTTCCAAAATCACAGAAGTAACATGACGTTTCGCTTTGCAGATTTTGTCTAGACTGTCTCCCAATTGGCAGACACCTCCGTTTTGGCATTGTCAAGAATGAGGGAAGACTCTGTTGCTGACTAGTCTCTGCCACTTCAACACATCCAGCAGTTGAAAAGAAAAAATCTGCTTGCGAACCTTGTATTCGGAGCTTATCTTGCCTCTTCAGTATACTTGCCTGGGAATTGCAGGCTCTGTGGAAAAGGCACCGGGAGAACGAACAGGAGCATAAGGCCCTGCAAGTGTCACAGCTGATGCTGCAGAGTCATGCAAACATTTCATGGCCACTCACCCCTTCTCCAGTTTCTTCACTGCCACCTGTGTGCCATCCTTCAGCACGCCATGGAACACCTTCCCAAAGCCTCCCTCGCCCAGCACGCTCTCCTCCCTGAAGCCGCCAGTGGCGTCAGACAGCTCAGCGTAGGTGAAGCGCCTGCAGTTGTCGGGCAGGCTGGCTTCTAACAACGATGCGATTTGGGTTCCATCCACATCTACTGCATCGGCCCCACCGCTACCCAGGGTGGGCTGCCCCTGCCTGACTGTGGCAAGCTGGTGCTCCAGGTCCACCAGGCGCTGGCCCAGCCTGCTGGCTCGGGACTTGCGGCAGAACATGCACGCCCAGACACAGCACAGCAGGCTGACTGACACGACGGCGATCGAAATGCCCACAGTCGCCAGCACATTGTTCCCAGCTGCATTCACAGCCGCACGCAACCCAGAGTTTCCCCCGTCCTCTTCAGCATGGTCTGATGGAACGATGATCGCTGGGTCAGTCTCGCTGCCACTGGCAGAAACGACAGGCTCTGTGTCTAGTCCAGTCCTGCTGCCTGGCTGTCCCCCGATAGGTGTATCCACAGAATCGTCGACTGGCCTATCAAGCTCTGCCCCAACGATCCAACCAAACCGTTCTGGGGTGGGGTCCACGTTCCCTGCCCGATCCACAGCCCGCACTCGAATTGTGTTCAGGCCAACAGACAGCCCCTGCAGCAAAGGCAAGCATTACTGATATGCCTACAGTTCTGCACTCCACCTAACAGCACATGTAAGAACATTCGCAGGCAATAGTCAATCTGTTTTGCAGCCACTGAAATCACAGGTGCCGATGCAGAGGGTTGAAACAGGCATTCTGAGCTGTGACCGATGGTTACCTTCCTGTTGCATTGATGGCAGCCACATCACGAAAGGATTGCCATAGCAGGAAGGACTCCCATCCAGCCCCTTTATTGCAGTTTTTGAGTAATACCATACTGACAACGCCATTGCAGCTGCCATCACATGGTAAAGCACCATCCCACTGGCGCATTGGCTGGCATAGCGATCACATGGATGACATTGGCCCTGACGTCAGTCCCATGTTGTCCATGGAGACGCCAAAAGGCCAGTGCCCCATGTTGTCCATGGAGACGCCAAAAGGCCAGTGCCCTCACGGCAGGATTTCAGCAACTCTCCCGAGTGAGGTGCAATGAACAAACAATCAAGCACAACTGCTGTGCATGGGCTATCCTGTCATCGACTTGCAAATGGGAGCACACTGATTTGACACATTTCGGTAAAGGAGCAAAACATAGAAATCTAGTTACGACGCTGCAGAACCCAGGGCAGCCCTGACAAGCACCATAGGTACACAGACACCTGCCTCCACCAAAGATCTTATTTTGTGAAGAAACTGTCCCAAAAATGTGTATGCGAACCACGATGCATCTGACCTGACCAGACCTGCTTACCTCCACCCTGATGCCGCTGTGGCAGTCCTCCCATGCCCTGCTGTCAAAACTGCACTCAAAGTGTTCGACAGTAAAAAGCCCGTCAGTTCCCTCGAAGTTGAAGACCGCAGAGGTGTCACTGGTTTCCTTGTCAGGCAGTTCACCCACAAAGTGCGTGTCAGGTGGCACTGTGTCCACAGTCCAGCTGACAGAGGCACTGCCCCCCGGGAGACTACCACCAGTCAGAGCCTGCAGAGGCCAAAACATCAGAACAAGTGAGGGCCACACAAAGATGGCAATTATTGACACCTGGAATGACAATTACAAGCCCTTGACACTTTGCACTTGATAACGGGGACCATACCCAGTCATCAAGGTACATACATCGCAGCATTGTCGATTCCCAGGCAGCAGTCATGCACAGAGGTGTGAGGATGCCTAGCAGATGCCCTTTGACGTTGGGTCTAGACATGTTGTGCGCAGATGCCATGGGAAACAATAAAAGAGGCAAGCCGGACTCAGAATTACGCAGCCGTCTTGGACAGAAAAATTCCTTGCCATTCACAGGACTTACAACTGAATCTATCCCTGTGCATTGCTAAGCAATAGTGGATGTTGTCATGAAGCACCAAAGCCTTGGTCAGCTCACCATCTAGCAAAGTGACACTTGCACAGCCCACAGTGCGGTGATAACAGAACAAGCATGCAGCCATGACAACATTAGTCCATATCAGTTTGCAACAATGACCAAAGCAGCCACAATACACACGTTGGCCCACAAGATTCTGCAACCTCAAACTTCCCATTGATGTGAGCAAGAATTGAATGTTGTCAGTAGTTTGGCAATATTTCCAGAAATTGGTCCAAAAACCTCCCGCAGCAGATATCGCCATCATTGCCTAACAGAATCACCAGTTTGGCCAACAACACCACAAGCTGGTTGGGCAATCACCCCACCTGAATCTGGAATGTATATCTGCCATCCCTGCTCAAATTCTCCAGTAGGTATGGCGATGTGCAGTTGTGCCAGCCCCACACTACTTCGCTGTCGTGCCGCAAGGAGCACACTGTGCTTGTGAAAAAGCCCTCCACCACAAAATGGACATCTGCCTCACCCTTATTCGAGAATGAATTTGGTAAGGGTCCCTGCATCGAACAACAGGTCAATAACCGATGTGCTATTATCCCACCAACCCTGCCCTTCCAAAACGCAGCCTGAGAGCATTCACAGGGAGTACTGTGCCTATCGCATTTTCTAACAAGGCATGACGCTGGCAAGCTGCTGGACGGCGAACCGCAGACAACCCGTGGGACAACAGGGTGCTGCAAAACACTATCAAAAGCAGCTAGGCAAAACAGCTACAGGCGCCAAAAAACACCGAACATGGCTGTGACAACAGACATCCTGTCTATTCCGTTGCCTGCATAGCTGTGCATGCGCATGGAACAAGCAGCGAAAGCCGTTCTATCACATCACCAATGTCCGCATCCCCACACGCGCTCCAACAAACAACAGTGAGGCCTGCTTCGGCGCCATCACAAAGGCCAACCCTGGCTTCGCCGGCTGCAAGGAGGGGCCGTTCTTTGCTTGCTCGTTCCGCCCACCTGTGTTATCAAAACCTGGTTCTGTTGCCGAAGGCCTCTGACAGCGCCCCCCCGGGCCCCGTCAGCGGACTCGCCCAGCAGCCCGCCGGACGAGCCATCCGAAACACCTCCTGCGACCGCACACGTAAGGGCGCTGCTCAGCCACCCGCGCTTCACAGCCCACTTCACCTCCTCGTACAGGTACCACGGCGAACCACGGTGGCATCACAGTGCGGAATCCTGTGCTCACATTCCCGCATCGCGGAGAGCGAGCGCGGACAACGCCGCGCTAACCACAGCGGTCTAGCGGCGGTCCCCGAGCGCGCTCGGAGGGCCCCCATAATCTTCCGCGACATGGAAAAGGGCCTCGAAAAAGACTTCCTCACGATGTGCCCGGCGCGAGGCTGCATTCTCTTGCGCTAAAGGGAGCGCCCGGTCGACGCCCGCGACGCGCCGGGAGGGCTCCACGGCGCTCGCCAGACAGCCAACGCCGAATCCCACACCTTCCCCCGGTGACACCGCCGCCAACACCGCCGCGCCGCCCATGACAACGCCCCTCCCAAAGATGGCACGGCCGTGGGCCCCCCCCCCGGCCGGGGCACCCCCCACCCCCCTTCCCACCCGCATCCAGCACCCAGCCACGACCGCGCCAAGCTCCCAGGCCAGCCCGGCGCGCCGCTCCCAGAGCCCGGGCCGTCGATTCCTGCTGCGCGAGACTCTCTCCAGGCGCGCGGGACTCCCACCCACCAGCACAGCACACGGCACCAATCTCCCCACAGACCCCTCCGCAAGGCAGCCCCCCCTCCCCCGCCGCCTCCCTTGGGCGATAATCCTCCACGCACACATCCTCTTCGACCCCGGCCGCCACATCTGCGGTCTTTCCCCCCGCAGCCCGGCCCAGCCCCCCCTGCCGCGGGTACGAGGATAAACAAAACATCGACAGCCGGGCGCCAGGCCCAGCACCCAACCTCCTTTCCCACCTCTCCCCACGCCGGCGCTCCCCGTCGCTTCAGCCCACGCGGGCCCCCCCGCCAGGATGACGTAGCTAAGGGCGGCCCCCAGGGTGGCCAGGGAGGGCGCCATCGGGCCCCGGGCGGCTCGGGCGGCAGCCCGCCGGGGTGGCCTGCGGCGATCCGTCGATCGGGCGGCGGCTTGCCCGCTCAGAGCAGGGGGCGCCGGCCTGGGCACGTGCCCGGCGAGGAGCCCATCGCCGCCTTGCGCGCGCGCCTGTCCGCTCCGCGAGCTTGTGGCTCGGTCGCTTTGGCTGGCCCGGCTCACGATGCCTGCGGCCAACTACGGGGGCAAGGCAGACGGGGTGGCGTGTTGGCGCACCGTACGGATGTGGGCAGCGAATGAGGCAGACACTGAATGGCTGCCGCACTGAGGGGGCGTCACGGGCTGCGGATCCGCCCTGATTTTTGCAGTTCGGGTGGCTTCCCTGCGAAAACAGTCACGTCAGCGCGAGACAGGGCCCTGCCGTGTCCGCGCGAGAATGCCATTAGGGGCTCGGGACCGCGAACGAAGGACGGGCGAAGGGGACCGCGGCTTCAATGTACGCGGCCGCATCCCACCTGTGTTTCTTGAGGCCAACGGGGGCCAGTGCGTCGTTGGTTAGTAAGCTTCGGGCGTCGAAACAAGAATCGACAATCACGAAAGAGAGGGGTAATTTCGTGCCATTGGCGCTCGTCCCCTTGCAGGCCTTTCCGATACGTATCGTAGCAGCGCTGTTTTGACGATTGCTCAGTTTCGACTCTGTGATGCCGCGCAGTGCTCTGGCGCGCTGAGCGCCAGCAGGTCGCCATGAAACTTGAACACAAATGGTGCGTTGTTGGTGGTTGACATCCTCTCTGTTGGTGCTGCTGCTTAAATGCGAACATCAAGAGAAACTTCCACCTGAAATGTGGAGGCCTCCAACTTGCCCATGACACAAGCTCTTGGCGAACGAATTAAGGTTGCAAGCGCATTCCCCAAAGCTGTCCTCCGCAGGAGCAATATCTTCAGCGACACCACAACTTACTCCACATACAATGCCAACAAATCGAGGACGCTGCCCCACAAATTGCGCAGAATGCTTCATTTCCAAAATGCCAAAATGTCAAAATTACGGCCTGGTCGGGTGTGGCACACCGTCCTTGGTTCGGCGCGCACACCCGCGAGCCAGGCAATACCCGCCGGGCCCAGCCGCCCCATCGACAGGAATCCACTCGGCCACACCCCCGCGCCGCTGCACGGACACCCTCCAAATCGACGCCAACCGACCGCCGCTGCGTCCAGCATAAATTGTCCAATGAGAGCACTGCCGCAACGCCCCCATGCCATCATCACATCCCAGAACCCCTCGCCAGTGCTGCACTGCCGAAATGGGCATCCGGCATCTTGGCCGGCTGTGTTGCCGCCGCTTTCGCCACCACCCATTTACACGTGGCCCGTACAACCAACGTCCACCCCAGAGTTCCGACCGCTGCCTCAGGCTCCAGCCCAGCGCTGTACATTCTCGGCCCAAAGATATCGATACCAGGCCCGCCTGTTGAAATACTTCGTTGGGTCGATCTCCAACTCTGTGAATAACTTTGCCAGTTCATCGTTCAGCTCCCCCACATCTAGTTTCGTCAGGGCTTGACCCCACATAGGCTGATCGGCGTATGCGATGACCACCTACCTCATCACCCGGATCTGGGCCGTTGCCCCGCCATTCCCCCACAAAGAATAACAAAGATGCAAGGCGTGGAGCCGGAGGGGTCGCCGCGCGACTAATACACGGGGATGCACTTGTCGTACAGGTCCTTTCCGGCGGCCTGTCCCATCCACATGTCGCGGTAGGTGCGGCCGAGGCCCATGAGCTCCTCGTGCGAGCCCTGTTCGATGATCCTGCCGTCAGCCATGACGCAGATGACGTCGCAGTCGACGATGGTGGACAGGCGGTGGGCGACGAAGAAGGACGTGCGGCCCTCCGCGAGGCGGGAGAGCGACGACATGATCTCCTGTTCGGTGTTCGTGTCCAGCGCCGACGTCGCCTCGTCGCATATCAGCAGCCGCGGCGCCTGGCACCATCCAGCGGTCCCGCGTCACGGGACCCGTGGGTTCGTCAGCGGGAATTCTCTTGTGGTGGACAGATGAACAAAAGCCAGGGCTGAATGGCCGCTGACTGCAGAGCCTTCAATAGTTTGTGCGTCCCTTTTCGCTGGTATTGAGTGCGATGGCGACGACTATGTCGAGATCAAGTCGACAGTGTGCTGTCGATATCATGTCGACAAATTGCCGACTGACAGTTCTTAGGGTATATTGTCACTTTGCAACCGTTTAAACGGTCCTGCGGGAGAATGGTACTCGCTGGAAAGCAGGCTTACACGTTGAATTTCCAATAAACAAGCCACTGACTGTGCTCCTCTTGCACGAAATAGGAACCTGACAGCTACCTCCTGGCTTGGACATGTATCGCTTCTTGACTGATTGGTAACGAAAAGTCGCAGCTAAAATACAAAGTGAAAATTGTGCAGAGAGTCGTAGGACAAGCAGGTAATGTGGGAAAAGCATGGGCCACAGCATTCAGTTTATGCCCAGTTCACATACCACACCAGGGCACCGTCAGGAGCACAAATCATATCATGTTGACAGTGCTATGAGCAAGTTCAAGCACAATGTTTGTGCAACAGATATCTTCAAGGCGCTGGGGAAGAAGCACCCTCCTTGCCTGCCGAATGGGAGTTCTAACAGCATTTTGTACAAATGGACGGCAACTGCAACTTGGTGTCGTAGTTCCTGTTTCTACGCAGATTGTCGAAGAAATCTCCCATCTGTTGCACAAGGCCCTTTCTCGCAGGAAGGTTAGAATACCTGATCATCTGCTTGGCTACATCCATCGTTTCTTAAGAAACCACTGTATTGTGCTTCGCCAGTAGCATAATGAAACCACATGTACAGGAGTACGATAAGACAAGGACTAGCAGCTCTCCTTTGACGTTCTATTCTATTTTCTGCACCCATTTGTCTTCTTGCTGCTGTGGAAGGGACAGGCGAGCAATGCATGAACTGCCAGCATCTACCACTGGTGTGCAGTTATGCATTTCCCCCCTATCATAACCTCCCCTGGGTCTGCATCTTCCTGTGCTACATATTCTTCGGCAAAAAATCATCCAAAATCGACAATTTAATGGAAATCCACATCCCCTCAATGGCCTTCCCCTCCTGAGCAGGAAATATTATGCAGTTCTTTTTCATACTGTCGAGATGATGCAGGAGCGTCTCTGCGCAATAGGCACCTCCCACAACACAGAAACACAAGCAACAGGAAAGGATCACCACCAGGTCCTGCAGCTCATCTGCAGTCAGGCATACCCACCCGCACAAATGTTCGGGCGATGGCGACACGCTGCTTTTCCCCTCCACTCAGCTTCAGCCCCCTCTCGCCAACCATTGTATCATAAGCCTCCGGCATCCTCAATATGGAGTGGTGGAGCTGTGCCATCTTGGAGGCAGCAATCACCTCCTCATCGGAGGCACCCTAAACAACAAGCACAATGAAGCAAATTTCGAATTGAACAATGATAATGGAGTTCAGACCTCTGTTTCCAGGGACCGTCTGCAGACAGGGCTGCACACTGAAGCACAGCATTGCAGCAATTGGTGTGTGCAACATGGCACAGCGCGTTGTATGCAGTGAGATGAAAAGGGAGCTAGCAAGGGCTACATGTGAATAGCGTTGTTGCCCTCCAAATGCATAACGAAGCAACAACAATGACAACCCCATGAAGCGCGGCAATCCCTAGAATGCACTTGAGCTTGCCCTTGTGAGCATACAGACAATGTGTCCAAGCACATCAGTGGCAACGCGTCTGCCAAGGTCTGCACCAAGAACACCCACCGGACGGCCGTATCTTATGTTGTCCATGACTGATGCGTTGAAAAGAACAGTGTCTTGTGGGACTACCCCTATAGCACCCCTCAAAGATTCATGCCGCAAATCCCGGACATCAATGCCATCGATTGTGACATTGCCTTCAGTTGGATCGTATAGCCGAGCAAGGAGCCTCAGGACAGTGGATTTGCCTGATCCAGAGCCACCAACCAGAGCCACACTTTGTCCAGGCTTCACTTTGAGGTTGAATCCTTGCAGTACCTGAACACCAAATGGCAGAAGTTGAAACCATCCAATGACTGCAGCAGTGCTTGAGGCCAAGCACAGAGCGAATCCCAAGACCTGCTGCAATAGTCAGGTTTGCACACTAGCTGCATTTTACAAATGGGCAGCTCGCTCCCAGGACACAGCCAACACCAGCCTGCTGCAAAGCCTCTATGAACAAAGTGTAAAGTGAAATACATTCACAGCAGCAGTCTGACATTATCACACTTTGGCAATGGTAGGGGAATCACAGCCTCAGAATGGTAGGGGAATCTCAGTATTGCAAATGGTAATGTTGGCTATATGATGGCAGGAGAGGAAAACAACAACACAGCTCTGTTGTCCAAGGGTCCACCCACACAAACTCAGGGGTTGTGTACTCTCATGCCTACCTTTCTCTCTCCACTGTACCCAAAGGTCACATTGTTGAATTCGATGGCTGGAGGGGGCAGTGCCTCCTATATACAGAAGAAGCAACAGAACCAAGTCAAGGAAACAACAGATCACATCACAACCTACCACCCCATCATAAGTTCCCACGTTGAGCTCAGACCGAAAGTCAGGAGCGACTCACTGGGCCCCATTTCACTTTATTTGCACACCTTGTTGCCATTCACCAACACTCCAGTTTCGTGTCCAGCACCGTTGCCACTGGCCCCGTTGCCATTGTATGCCCCAACAGTGGGAACCTCCACTGCTATTGAGCCTGGGAGGTTCAGGGTACCTTCTGGGAGCATCGTTTTGGTCTGCCAGATCTTGAGAAACTCGTCCATGTCCACCAGGCACTGTTTTAGCTCCCTGTAGAACCAACCCAGGAACTGGAGAGGGTACCAAAGTTGCAGGAGCAAGCCCTGTATCAGCACCTACACCACATCCCACAGGATTCACAGTAAGAAAGGACTGGCAATGAAAACTAGGACAGAGGATTTGCTCGCAAATGGCAACTAAAAGAAGCAAAGGATGAATGCAAGCAAAAATCATGGCGAAAAGCACAGGGCACAGGATATTGCGCACAGAGTATTATCCATTTCTCAAACGAGCGATGCCAATTGAATCTCTGAAAGCAAGTTTTAGTGCCAAAAGTGTGAATATCTCATTCTCGACCCTCTGCAAGCCCCAAGCCATCGACCCGCAGTGCTGTCCTGGTGAAATGGGAATCTCTGATGCTACGAACACAGAGATCACTCACGCCCTTACCAAGTCGCCTGGCGTCACTTGCTTCGTCCCGGAGAGCATCAGTGTAGCAACGAGGGCAACAGTGACACCCATGGACAAAACAACACTCTGCCCAGCATTCAATGTGGCAGCAGCCTTCTCAATGTCGATAGAAGCATTCTGATATCCTCGAAGGTACTCATCATACTGTGCGACCTCCATGTCCTGGTTGTTGAACAGAGTCACCATTTCAAAATTCTGCAGTGCATCAATGGCCTTGCCAGTTGTCAAATTGTCGTACTCGTTGGCAACCTTCCTTGACTGTGTGATGGCCTGTGAGCAACACAGCGAACCCGCAAAGCAACTCAGGTGGCACTGCATGCTGATTTCTACCGATTCTCTTGGTGAAATAATGCAAGACAAATCAAGTCCTTGAAACTTGAAAAGAAATGACGGTGCTGATAGCACTGATGGCAGGTGACAGAACTTGGCATTTCTACAAGAAATGTCTTCATTATTTATTATTATTTATTCTTGCACAGGAATGGCACAGTGGCAATCTGCACTGCTCACTTGTGGCCTTCAAGGGCCATGCACTGCCCTTCCGTCTTTCAGGTAATGTTACACAAGGATATGCAGATCCTTGCCACTATGCCAGGGATTGCCTTCCTTGACATTGCCCAAATGAAAACACACGTGCAGTAGTCCCAAGCACAGTGAGCTGAACATGGTACCAAATAACATTGCCACGACCTGTCTTCTTTCACAGCAACTGCATGGCCGCATTTTTCAGCACCATTACTTGGGTACAAACGTTTGGCCAGTCCTTTCTGGCAGCTTAGGAGCTGTCAAAGGGTGCTGTGGATCTAATAGGATTGTGTTCAATGTGCTGCAGGTTGTAATGGCAGATGCCATTTCACCATTCACTCTAACATGCTCTCAGTCAACAGGGTTTGAGCAAAGAACACCTGACTTCGAGGCAAGCCACACTCCAGGCCAAATAAAGCAGGACAAACAGTCCACCAGGCAATCGTGGGCTGCAAAATGGAACACAGCGAACAAAATAAAATGTTGTGGCAGCCAGTGACCACAATAATTTTCAAGCTAGCTCTATTAAGAGTGAGGGAGTATGAGGTGATGCAACAAGGGAGTGCATGAGATAAACACCTTTCCATTTGAGTTGTGTCCAAGAGGAAATTCGTGAGATAAGGGCTTACAAGGTGAATACTACTACTACTTAGAGCAAAGTACAACCGAACAATTATTCCATAAGCACCCCCTTCTCACCAAGAATGTTGTGACACTCTTTTCCAGGAGCACACTTCATGCTAGCAATAGAGAGCTACTTAAACCGCAAGGGTTTGGTGGCCATGGGACAAGCAATCAAACACCCATTGCAAAGTACTAAACACGAAAATAAAAACTGAAAGGCTAAGGGCTGGAGTCCCAAACACTCAGTGGTGCATCAACTTTTGTCAAAAGGGTGCCATCGACATATGCTGAAGGAAGTGGTCAATGCCAGCATTGCGCACCTGAGTCATGTACAGTGTCCACCCCACGTAGCCAGCAAAAGTTCCGATGACAACAAAGGTGACCACGGGGCTGAACGTCTTGCCCAGGAGTCCAGATACAAGCACAAGTTCGATGACAGTGGGCACAAACGTGAAGCCCACAATCCGAAACAGCATCTGCACACTTCGAGATCCTTCACAGCACAAGAGCATTTGGCAGGTTGCCTTGGACTCAATGTTGAATCTTTGTTTCACGATGGGGATTCATGATGACTGCATGCAGAGAAGCTGTGCAGGTAAGTAGGCCTGTTGTTGCTTGTAAAGTGCATGTGCAGTGCACAGTCATTATCAGAGAAAGAGTATCGGAAGACTTGAAGAAATGGTACAAGGCTGTATAAGCGGAGGCTCACAACACAAGAATCGTGCAAGGAATAATCTACACCAATCGAGAGCTGGACTACTACCAATTTCTATCACTTGCCAATATCCTTAGTGTGCATTCAAACATTGCTTCCACATTATTCAGCAAAACCTCTTTGCAAATGCAACCTTTCCTTTTCGCCACTTCAGGGCCCATGCAATAAGCCACACATACAAGTTGGACTGTAGCCATATGTACTGCTTGTATGGGAATTGCTGACGAACCAATGACGAGTGGTCAATACATTGCTTGTAAGGGGCACACTGCGGAGGCTATTAAACTCAAGTGCAAATTGTACCTCTGTCCAGTATTCTTGAGAGGGTGCCTGATCTCCTGTCCAAGTGGAACTGTACATCGAGGTCAAGAACATGTGCAAAAGTGTTGGATGCAACCTTGCGTTGAGCTGCCTGCATCACACAAGTGGACAATGTCACGACAGACCACTGCATTCGACCCAGCATGGTGCTGGCCTCTCAACTGGATTTATTTTGACTGCGTTTCATCTGGACTACCACCGGATATGCAGGGAGGCTCCGGTGGGGCACATGTGTTGATGAACAACGACTGTTGCGACAATACACACCCATCGTATCCTATTCTTGTAAAGAATGTGTGGAGTAGTGCTCTGTGAGAGCAAGGTGGTGAAAAGGGGGCTGGAGGGTATTGGCTCAGACCACAATGCACCTTCCATGTGAGGGGACTTTTTGTAGACAAGTTTTTGTGCGCCCGTTCTGTAAGCTTAGGCAGCACATGGCATTTACAGGACGGACACGTGCTGACCGAATGACAACATTGCACTCACTGAAAACATGACTAGCGCTGCACATTCACCTACTGGCTTTACAGTGCTATTGGCTTTACCTACTGGCTTTGTTGGCCATTGGACAGGTGCTACTTGCCAATGCGCCCACTGCCATTAGACTGGGAGGTGCTTGCACACCACATGTCATGCATAAGCTCTGATTCCATGAAGTAACCCTTTGCCCAGGGTAATTGAAGGGAAATGAGACGTTTGCAAGGCGTGAGGTCACATTTATTGATGGCATAAGCAGAAAACAGATAGTTGGGTCGTCGTACCTGGGCCACAGGTGTAAACAGAGGGCCGACCAACTCTTTAGCGATTCCGCTCACCACCCTGCACAGCCCTGCAAGCAGGCAAGCCAATGCTGCTGCTTTTGCCGCCGCAGGTGTCATTGGTCCAAGCACCTCCACTGCCTGCTTCAAAAAGAATGGTGACACCAGACCTGTTGAATGCATTTGCGAAAATGTTTAACCAGCAGAAACAGCACGACTTTCCAGAACTGGGTTGTCAACGAACTAAAATACAAACACTGAAACGTCAGTTCTGGCTGCTGCGTGATCCTGTCAAACTATGCACAGACAGAAAAGTTTGTTTGCTGACAGCTGTGGGTAGTACTAATGCACATTGACTCTAAAAGATGTCAGATATGTAGGCGTCAGACTGAGCTGCCTGGTGGCACGATGGAAGAGAACAGTTGGACAAACCTGACAGATTCCACAAACCCATACTGGGGCGATAACAAGACTGTTGTTTTCCTGCTATTTAACATCTTTTCTGCAGGTCTGGACCGCCATGCATGCCTCTGTGAGGTGCCCGCAGATACTGCAGGTACATGCCGTTCAATATTCCCCTCAAGCCATGCAGCAGATACCAAGCCTTGTACAGTGCAAGCATGCAGAAGACACAAAATACCAAACCATACATGACAAGGGGACACCAATGCGTAGCACTACAGCTATACTGCACAAGCGCAACTGTGACATCAACTTTGGCAGCCACGTTCATGTGTCACATTTTCTGCCATATTACAAATTTGAGGACCACAAGAATATTTCTGTGTGCCTGCCCCTGACTCTGAAAGAAAAACCATCTTGAGAAGTTGACAATTCACACAAGGGCTTCAGTTCCATTGCTGGAGTCCGGTGCCAAATGCCAATGCAAGTACAGTTGCCAGGAACAGTGCAATACACAATGCATTTCTCCTCGCTGACAAACAAGTTGATTCCTTCATATTAAGAACAACCCACTCACTCAAACACACAACTTGTCCACAAACACAGCGGCTAGCATCGTCCAATGGCTGCAAAAGAAGAGCATGGTAACATTTTGGACAAAAGAAAAGAAATGGGAGCTTGCCATGCGATGGGGACACCAACCTACAACATTCCATGGGGTATGCTCACTCTCCAGTAATGGCCAATGTGTACTGCACACAGTGTCGATGCAAAAGCGTCTCAAACATACTGTTGAGGATGAACACGACCTCTGCTTCCAATCCATCTTCCCAATCGACAAGGGCGACGGGCACTATTGATGTCCACATTATGTGAGACCGGAATGTGCATACAGCTCTAACACAGCCGGAGTTGTGACAAGCATTTGCTTTCAATTCTAAACAATTTCATCACAGCCTAAATTCCAGGTGCCCACCTCTTCACTGACATCTTACGACAAGGTTTTGTTGGTCAGAACTGTTTCGACAATTGAATGTGACACCACTTATGAATCATAATACACATAAATGCCCATGTCCATACATTAATTCCCAGCTTGGGACCAATGCACCCTTCCAAATGTGGCAAGGTGCTCCTCCTTGGACAATGCTTGCCTGCATTGATGAATCCTACGTGGGTACTTGCATTTATCTACTTGCTAACCACAATGCAGAGGATGACACGGACAGCACTGCCGCACTCCACCTTTGGGCAGAGTACTTGCAGCAGTGCTCCAACAATTCGCTTCTGAAATCTGGTCAGGCATGCTATGACATTGTTGGCTGTGCTGTTGACGACTTCCGTGCTACCCACCATGAATGCCAACTGGTAAAAAGATTTGCTTTGGGTGCAAGTTATGACTCTAGCCCCTTGGATGTGGGCAAGCTGGCAATTCAGTTCCTAACGAAATGCATTTGCCAGCATTGGTCTATTATTCGATGCAAATCCGTGCATTAATTTGGCTCATGAACGCGATATTCCAACATGCCAAGACACTGTCTCTCAATTTAGGACGCTCAATGAGATGTGACCACAAGGGCCAACAATCCCAACAACGCGATCCCCCCCGAGGCTGAGCAAACATTGAAATCCGACACTTCCCTGCGTCCCTCGTTGCCTACAAGGTCCAAGAGCTTCGTTTCCCCAATGCCATCCCGACGATTGCAATCCGCACAATTCACCACCCCGCCCGTTCGCGCAGCCCCGTGCCACGAATTCGCAGATGCAGGAGCAACGCCACAGAATTGAAACGCAGCCTGAGATGCGCGGCCGGCCACCGACTCCTCCGCCCCCTTCCCCTCACCTCCCTCGCGTGAACGGGCGCAAAGGCGCCCCACGATGCCCCATGCAATCAAAGTGCCGCCAACATGCCGCGCTCACCCGCCGTCTTGGACAGCACCAGACAGGTCATCGCCAGGCCCACCCGCCAGTACAGTGCTGGGTCCGTCAGCGCCAGGCGTCCCAGGTAGGGGATCACGTCCAGCAGGCCGGCGGTCTTGGGCGGCTCCGGCAGGGCCTGCACGCCCGTCGCCGGGGCAACACTTCCCCTCTTGCCGGCCGGCGGGACCGCGACGGCGGGAGCGTGCGCGCAAAGTGGCACCGGATGCCTCCTTGGGTGGATTCCCGTCGCTGCGCGCCGCCTTTCGATCCCCGCGGTCGATCGGTGACGGAGCTGGGGCGGGGGGCGTGGGCGCGGCGAGGGCAGCGCCGGCCCGCAGGCCATCCCGCCACAGCGTCGCGAGAGGGGGGACGGCATCGTCGGCGGTGCGCGGCGCTCCTCCGGGGGGCCTCCTGCGCCGCTAGGAGCGAGGGGGAGAGGCTGGACGAGCCGGGCGCTCGCCCATACCGCTGCCCGGCAAGCCGGGAGTGTACCACACCACAGCCCAACGCGCACATCGCGTTTGGGCACCCTGCGCCATAACCGTCTGTCACGTTCGCGGCCCGGAGCTTCGGCCCCGTCTCCGCGGTCGCCACGTGGCGCCACTTGGCGCGGCCCGTGGCCAAAGGCCCGCACGGAGCGCCCAGCGCGCAGTGCCTTCGGGCAAGTAACGTTTCCCGTGCCGTTGGGGTGCAGTGCCTCCAGCATGGCTTCCCCCCTGCAGCCCTCCGTCGCGGGCCAGCAGCGTCGGAGGTGTCCGCTCGGCGCCGCGCGCCCCGCGTGGACGCCCCAGGAGCTGCCGCGCTGCTTTCCGGCGAGCCGCCCCCGATCGGCACCATGCCGGAGCCTCCCCGCGATCGGGCCGGCCCTCCAGGTGCGCCGGCCTCGCGACGGCCGAGACCGCCGGTGGGAGATTCGGGCGCCGTTTGGATCCCCGACACTCGTTTGGTCCATTATTCCATTTGGTCGCCGGCCACCTGCCATCTGCGGATTGTCGAATCCTCGCCCTGGCAGAAGAAGAGAAAGATGGACTGGTGCAGTTTGCGCAACGTCGGAGAATCTGAACGGTAGAAAGAGGGAAGTCCGCCCCCACAGGGCGTCTCGACTGTATTGTCACGTCGCGTCAGTTGCATGTAATGAAAGGGAGGTTGTGGACCGAACGCCTGGTGTTGATCGCTCCTCGCTGGTGCCGTCGTGGCCAGGCCGCCGCCCCGGCGCTGCTGGCGCCCCACCCAGGGATCACCGCCGGCGTGCTCGCTAACACGACGGTCTACGTGCTGGGCATCCGGGTGCTGCTGGCGGGCCTCACATGGGCGGGCGTTTTCAACTCGTGGCTGCTGGGCTGCGCCTCGTACTCGGCCTTCGGGATCGGCGGGTACGCCCTCGTCTGCCTGTACTTCATTATTGGATCGCTGGTGAGCCTCCGGCGCCGCTGGCTTGACTCCGCGGCAGGTTTCTGTGTTCGTGCCGCACATTGCCAGAGGGCGTTGTTGCCGCTGATCCAAATGGGGGAGAACGTGAGAAATGGCCCGCGGGGCTGGTGTGGGCAATGTGTGCCCTTTCCTCCATCAATGGCCAACATCGACAGTCGTTCAATGTGCATGTCCAGAGTGAAGCGAATGGCTCTGTCGAACACCATTGTGGGGGTCTGCAAAGCATCCCCAGGCACCTGTGAAGCAATTAAGGACAACGAAAGGAATTGCAAAAGACGGAGTTCAATTGGGCTTCCGAAGGGTGGCTCCACACTGGTGTAACTGTGGCACCATGACTGCACGTCAGTATTTCAGGAGTTCGCCAAATTCAAACCACCAATGAATCATTTCTAGCAGTTTTCACACGATTTGAGTGTGAAATGGATTTGAGCCTAAATGGCCAGTTGTTCCCAATATTTACTGCACATGAAACAAATTCTGTTGGAATCAGCAACAAATCCTTGTTGGTTTCATTCTTCAGATAATGCGACGGGCGGCGTTGCAGGGCGCTGGTCATGCAGAATCAATCACAAAATTGCATTTGAACTGTCAGATGGCAAATTCCCACATCATGGTGTGGTGTTGCTGCTTGATTGAGTGGCTGCACTATCTGGCAGGTGACAAAGATACGGTTGGAGGAGAAGATTCGTGAAGGCATTGCTGAAAAGAGGGAAGGCCGGCGTTCTGTGGTAGGTCCTTGGTATCTGGCGATGCACATGCACAGTGTTGATGCACTATCTGCACCTTGAAACATTTTGCCTACAATTTGCATCATTCCTGTCCATGTGATGCCATCTCCTTCCTCATCTTCAGTGTTTGAACTGATGCATGTGTGACAGGCACATCCTTGAAACCTGTACTGTGGTGCGTTTTGCTCCATCAGCGCATGCATTGATGTGCCAGAGCTCAGGCTGCATTCAGCATGAAACACCACTACAGCCATGGTGCTTCCTCCTGCTTTTCTTCTGTTTCTTTGTCTTGCACCACGTCGACAGGCTGACGTGCTGTTCCCAACGCCCCAGGTGAAGATTTAACAATAGATTAACCTCATTCCATTTAGAGTGCTTTGGATTGCATCGACCAACACAGGGCAAGTACAGTCCCTGCATCGTACAGGCTATGATCGGTGTCAAGCCGCCCCCAATCATTGTTCTTATTGTTTCTCTGCACACATGCATATTGAATCCCAGGGACGCAGATGGATATAGAAGGTGCGGAATTATGGTGCTGACATGACCGAGAGGACCACTTAGAAAATGGAAACTAAACCGATCAAGCAACAGCCCCTAACAGGTAAACACCCATGGGGAAGTTTGCCATTGAGGCACGAGTGCAACCCATGAGCTATGCGCAAAAGAAACTAACTGGAAAGAGAAAAGAGGAAACTCCGATGATAGTGCTTGTGGAGTTCTCAAGGACCCTAGCCGTTGTTCCATTCCCTATTTCCTTGTTGCCGCGCCCTGCACCAAAGCATGCAGCTATTGCATTTGCAGAGAAGCAGCACAAAACTCAGCGGTTTGTTAATGGATTTAATTGGTTTCGAGATAGAGTTTGTGGAGAGATTGCACGAGCATATTTTGTGGGCGGGCATACGCCCAGCGTTGTGTTGATGTGCAAGTGCAGTGTTTTGCAATAAGGTTTATGCAAACGTAGCCAGAGGCTTCACAGCATAGAAGGATACCGACAAAGTTGCTCACTTCCTTCTCAGGGCAGTGTCTGGGGCTCTGGACTCGCAGGGACCATTTGTGCATTGGCAGCAATGGTGACTGGAGATTACCCATTCTGGCAGGTACGGACTGTGACCCTGGTCACCTTGTGACGTTCCACTGGAAGTTCAAAAAAGATCGGAGGTCGACGTTGATGTTAAAACATGCAAGAATGGAGATTGCGACTTGTCAGTTGTACGGTATCCGATCATGGCATGCACCTATCAGGAATGACAAGCGCAGGAATGGGCATGGCAAACATGTCTATAGTTGATTGGGATAGCAGTATCAAGTGAAACCCACTAACAGCGAACATGGGAGTGTGTGCAAGTAGGACCACAACTAGTCAATGTCCACCTGCAAGAGATGTTCACTTGTGACCCTGGTGTGTTGATTGGAGAGCTCTGGCTGTCACACACAATGTTACTTGGAGAGCGTTCACCCTTCTCCCTGTTGCTGAGCTGGTATCCAATCAGTCTTGTAAGGTCATTGTCAGCACCTTGCAGACCTGTCATTGGCTGACCCAAACATTGACCATCAGTCACAGTTCGGTTGACCACTGGCGTATTAGTTTTACAGTGCACGCTGATACGCTTGACCCATAATTTCACACCATCTGATTTTGCTTACAACTTCAGCAAGCGCTTGTGGTGATACTGGGTCAGCTGGCAAAATTGGAGGTCTGTGCCTTTCGCTTCAGGTCGGCTTCGTGGCCAACTTTGGCAGCAAGCTTTCTGACACAGTCTCGAGTGAAGTGGGTAAGGTATGCAGCAAGTTTGGGCTGTGTGGGGTGCACTCCAGTGGTGTCCAGGGTACTTGCTTTTCCGCAGCTGTGTCTGATCGTGGAAGAATCCACCGGTGTTAAATTATTCCAACAGTCAGGCGAGTCGCAGGTGTTCAAATTATTGTTCTGTGACACTGAGTGCCAAGAACACTGCGTCTGTGTCCTTGGCACATCCTGGTAAAGGGCAGACTTGACTCGTTCAAGCCTACTGGGCATCAGGAAGAGTGGTGATGTGAGGCTCAATTGTCCCTGTGTTGCACGAAACTGCACTGCTTTGCACTGCTCCCTTTTCCTTGTGGTAACGAAACTGCAAGGCCAGCATGCACTGCCATGTTGGACAGTTTCCCTCTTGTGCTGCCTGTTCCTGCAAGCAATGTCTGTCGATTAAATTCGTTGACAGACATTTTTAATTTTAATTGGAATTAGAGTTGTAGATTATTAGAATTTAAGTTTAATTGGAATTTGGATTAAAATTTGAATTCGAATTTTCTGATCTTATGCCCTCCTTTTTCAGTGTTCAGCCCTTCAAAACCAATGAGAGGTTTGTTTTGAATTCCAAATAGTGCATGTGTCACAGGCTTATGGCAAGACAACCTACTTGATCACAACATTTGAAAAGTGTCCACGTGGGACAGAGGGAGCAATAAGTCTTGAGGGCACTGCAGCAGGCATTGGCGCTGCAGCAGTGTATTCATTCTTAGCATTCTTGTTTGGTCAGGTGCGATATTGTCAGTGATATGCCCAGGAACTGGCTCTCGAGTGCTGCAACATTGTTTTTCATGTTCAATGTATCCTCCATGGTAACTGCTGATTGAGATCCATGTTGCTGCCAGTCTTATTGCACTGCTGGGGATAAAGAAGGAGTGAAGACGTCTTTGAGCAACTGTGGTTGTGGCTCCATGATCACTTCATGCTGTTTTGACACCACTGTGGTGACACATTTTGAGTTATGTGAGAGTGACACAACAATCTGTGCGTATTCGATATCTTTTACTCCACATATCAAGCGGAACAACACACTGAAGTGCCACATCCTCCCCAACAGTTTGTATTTGCCTGCAAGGAAGTAAGAATGGAGTGTCCAGTTTGTTTGGGGAGGGCCAGTGCAGGTCCCTGCTACTGAGACCTTCTCCTGCCTAGCATGCTTAACACAGCACACTGTGACGTGCATCCTGCAGGCATTTTGCGGTGGGCAATTTCTCTGACCTCCTTGCAGCTGCGATCGGTGCAGCAAGATGGACACCTTTTCAACATTGTTGGAACATCAACGACTGTTTTTTTGTCAACTGGCTCTGTTGGAGTTTACTGAATGCATCAGAATGTGAAGGAAATTCACCATTCCTTGCACATTCGACTGTCCATGTGCACATTTCAGCACAGAATCTTGAGAAAACCAGCTTTAACTTTGGCGATTTTTGATAGGCTGGAAAATTCCAGAACGTGAACCGGTTGTGACCCTGATGCAGGTGTCTTTGGCTGGTTGTGGGGTTGTGTTCTTGGCTTGTGTCACTGCCAACTTCATGGAGAGCTACCTGGGTGCGGCCCTTCAAGGGAAACTGGATTTTTTGACGAACGATGTAGTCAACATGATACAGATCTCTGTAGCTGCAATTCTGGCGATCGCAGGTCAGGCTGCCTGGGTGCGATTTGCAGTGTAAGCCTTTCTGTGCGTAAACGAGGTGGAATGGAAGTAAAGATGCTTGCCAGATGTTGGCAGAGTTTCCTTGCATTCCTTTTTCTTCTCCTTGTGTGCAGTAGGTTTGCTGCTCCTTCACCACAAGGTGTTGCGATTGTACACATGTGAAGACGTGCTGAAGTTGGTGACGGACGGAGCACGTGGTGCCAGCATGTGGAATCAGGCTACTGGTGATGTGTGTGTTGCCAGCGCAGCTCAGCTGCAACAAGATGCAAGTGAAGGCCTGCAAGATGCAGGATATCCCCATCATCAGCTTGTTCACAACGGACTGAAGCATGTAGTATTGGATTCACAACTTGTGGATGTCCACGCCTGGATTCAAATGTCCCACATCCTGCAACCAAAACCTCAAGCAAAGGGCTGTCCATTTTGGTGAGAGTATGTGATTGCTCGTTTCCATACCAGCATTCCCTTACAACAATTACAGTTTTGCCCATGAAACGTCTAGGCCCTTTGTTTCTTAATCGAAGGCTGCCACAGTCATGAACTGCCTGCCAAGAAGTCTGATCCTCCAGAGTCCCCACGTTGTGCAGACTTTGATGGATGGCAGTGGGCTCCATGCCTGGTTTGAAAACCCTTGGCCATTGATGATTTCTGTTTTTGCGTTTCCTACCCCAGCTATACTTGCACATGGGTAGTCCACCAAACTGATCTGCACATGCGATCGCAGAATTACCCTATGGTTGCTGCACAATGCATGGTGAGGTAATGCGGCCATGCTGCTGTCAATGCAAAAGGGTCAACCCCAGAACCAAATCCCTGCAAAAGCTGTTCCCAAAAATCCAACAACAACCTGCTCTCAGAGAACAGCAAGGGAGCAGGCATCAAATGTACTGGCAAGGCTCAGGCTTTCATGTGTGAACCATCCCAGCGTGGCGTGCGCCAGCACCTGGCACCTTTATCAAATCTGGGTGCGATCCGCCCACGGTCTTCACTGTGTGTCTGTTGCCACCCCTGCTTGGCTTCATGCTTCCTTGCCAACGGCCGCTGCCCTGCAGCTGTCCTGCTTGCCAGCCGTGCTGCAATCCTGCGCCAGAATCCCAAGACACATGCAGCCGCGGTTCACGTAAGCCTGGAGAAACCGGCCGGTTGAGGAATATGTTGGTAGGTGGCTGCTGGCTCTTCTCCTGTGACCTGGCGGTTGGGGGCCTTTGCTGCTGTGCCTTGCCCCTGCTGTCTCCAAAGGCGTGCGTCTGTGCACCGTATCGACGCGGCGGTGCGAGTGGATGCTGGAAGATATCATTGTATGCACTGTGTGGCCGAGGGTGAATCTGCTGGCTTGTGCCCGGCCCACTTTGGCCTGCCCAGCCTGGTCTTGACAGGGACTTCTCGCAGTAAGCCGTCAGGTTGGACGCTGAGGATCTGCGCATTGGGTGCATCCGCGCTGCTGACAAGCTCATGTGCAGAGTCCGCATGGAGTCCTTGGTGTCGGGCCTACCAGACAGACAGAGGTGTGAAAAGTTGCAATGCAAGGAAATTGCCCAGTGGCCAAGCATTGGCGCTTTCTGGCAGCCTGGCTTCCACGCCAGCCTGCCAATTGGGAGCTGGCAGGTTCGCACAGGCCGCATGGGTGTGAAAGAAACATCCCATCAATGCACATACAGGTTGTTCTGCATGGTAGGAGATTTGTATTTGCATTCGTGCTTCCTAACGTGCATGGTGGAGGATAGATGAGTCGCGTTGCCGCCATGTTGTGGCCACCCCACCAGAATGTGCATGCCAACTCCTGCTCCTCCCTTTTTGCTCGCCTTTCGTCCTCAAGCCTTGCCTTCAATTTGGCACTCCAGGTCTCGATCCTGCTCTGAAAGGGTACTCTGAATGCGGCTGAGAGTGTCTGCAAGGCAACAATGGAAATACTGTGGATGGTTTGCATTGTTACCCTAAGGCGACCGATCGAAAAGAATGGAAGTGAGTGCACAGAGTTTGGACAGGGCATTCCATGGGAGATCCATGGGAGATTCTCATGGGAGATCATTGTGCCGTGGTTGGGAGCCTTGAGCATTCGTGCCAAGCAGAGTCCCTCATGTGGGATGGAACAATAACATTGAACGCGTGGCTGTGGCAGTGTGTGGCAAACCACCCAGAGAATTCGAATTGTGCAACAGGGGCCATGATCAAAACAGTGCGCAGGGAGCAGAAGCAGCGCAACTGTGCAAACAACCAGCAAAGCCGGCGGCTATGGTGAATGTAGATGGGTGGTCACAGGAAAAGTTTCCTTTCCCTGTCTAGACCGGTACTTGTGAAGATTATCCCATTTGCTGACACCAAGGTCGCACACATGCATTCCTCCAGAGCTAGGAGGGCTTGAGCAGATTTAACACACATTGCATATTGATCCAAGAATCTGATGGTGCAATGCAAATTGCACTGAATAGAATGCAGCACGCAGAGCAGCAAGAACTCGGGCAGACCGGTATGAGCAAAGGCGTGAAAATTCGACTGGTGGAGGAATTTGTCAATTTTGCAGGGATTTGGCATGGACCTTTTTCACGCTCTCTGGCACCCTTTGCATCTTGGGAGCGAAGGTGCAGTGCTGGGCCAGCTCGCGCTTCACAAGCATGTCGTGGCGGGACTGCCTTGCATCCTCGCGCTCCCCTGCCCTCTTCTTGCCAACCATGTAGAGATACTCCAGTCTTGCCTCCCCTGATGCACAAGAAACAGCGCCGGGATGCAGACAAGAAGTACTCTGTAATTCCATGGTGATCAGATGAGAAATGTGGCAATCAGTGTTTTTGCCAATTCGTCAGTATTTGGTTTTCGGACAAATGCTCAGTGCACGTTGGCATCCTCTATCATGGGGTTTGCTATTCAGAGTGTTTGACTACGTGCGTGCTGGATTTCCACCGTTTGACCTGCAGTTCACACGAAGTAGGCATTTTCTCAAGAGGGTTTATGTGAACTGGAGTGCATGCTGCTGAACAGCGCGACCTGCAGGTGAATATTCTTGACCCAGATATGGCGAGGCACTCACAGCGGGCATTGATTGTTCCGCCACAGGCAGCCCCTCCGCTGCATTTCGTGAACTTGTTCGCTTGCGGACAAAGGCATGTTGGAGACGTCAACTGCGATGCCATTCTGGTGCAAAGCGGCGGCATCGCAATGATTCCGACGGCAGAAACAGTAACTGTGATTACGTCAGTTGGTGTCAAATGACGTCGCAGCTGCCATCACCGGAATGAGGATTTCTAGTGGGATTTGAGGCTTCTGTAAGGCAGACCGCACAAAGGTTTGCAACGCACCTGGTGATCTGCCTAAAGACTTGGTGCGCTCGTACACAGCCGCTGCCAGTTTTTCGGACTTATTGTTGATTCTTGGCTTGAAGGTGAAGTCGGCGAAGTAGGTTCCCAGGTGCGCGCAGTTGGCTGTGCTGCCGAATTCCCTGCTCCGTTCTGCTGCTTCCCCTTGCCCCTCAGTCATCCAGAAACGGGGCGTCATGACTGATCCCCCGCGATGGAGGGATTCATAGGCTTCTTCCAGGCTGATGGACGCATTGGCAATAGCAGGGCAACTCATTCGGTGCTCCCGGCGACGAGTGGCCTGAAACACACAAACACCAGTCCATGCATGGAAATTTATCACCACGCTATCTCGAATGTGGTGACCTGTCTACGAGGACCGAGACACTTCACATCGAATGCAAGAAGACATAAAAAAAGAAGGGATGTGCATCGAATGCAGAAAACGCAAGGTGGCATGGATGTCTGGAGAAGTGCGAACAGCCTTGTCGTAGTTTCAGTTTCGCCATGCCACGAGCCATGGTGATGCGTCAGTTTAGTCTGCTTCAACGCCCGCAGCCGCCAAAGTACAGGGTGTAACTATGCGACGCTTGTCCAAATTTGTTTCTGAACGGTCCACAATGTTCAATGCTGCGCGCCACCGGTGGCGGGCATTATGGAACCCATCGCAGAGATGGCGGCTCATGAGGGTGGCGCATCGATCGCCGTGATGATCTTCATCCTTGTGACGCTAGCGTTTGTCGACTGTGTGTGCGCTCGGTGGGCACTGCCCACCTGTCCGGATTGGCGGACTTCGGAACCAGCGCCAGAGCAGGGGGACTGCATCCTAGTTGTCCCCATGAACGGCCCCAGCATGGGGGCGTCTTGTTGTGGATCCTTTTCACATCTGTCTGACGATCTGTGGCCACCCCACGTCTGCTGGAACTTCACACCACGCTTGGCGCCGCCCTCTATGAAGCCACCCATGTTAGCAAGATTCATGGCCTCCAGCCTGTCGGATGACGCAGCATCAGCCAGACCCTCATGGACACGTTGGTTGGCGTGCCGTACATGCGTCGCTGCTGCTGCTTTGGGCGTCTGCCCGCTGCCGTCCAGACTCGCTGCCGTCATCTCTCCGCTGCTCACCATCTTGACAAGCTCTTCGCGGTGGCGTGTCCCCGGCCTTTCATCCAGCGCCTGCAAGAGAGCCTGTCGGGCTCTCGCAGCCAGAACCTGGATGCTCTCAGGCACTGAAGCTGCACCCTCGCGTGGCGATTTGTCTGTCCTTGTCTGCTTCTCGCCAGCCACACCACCCGCCTCTCCCCGGCTCCCCTCATCCATGCTGCCTCCCAGCCCCTCCATAACGCTGCTGCTGGCATGTCGTTGGTGAGTGTTGCCCCCCAAATCAACGCTCCCGCCCTCTTCGCTGAGCCTCCGAAGCCCGGTCTCCATGAGGGACAATTCGAGCGAGTCTGATCGCGCCGCTCTGGAGCTCCCATGTGCGGAGAAGCAGAGCAGTTCGTCGGAAGCGTTGTCAGGCCCTGGTGGCGTGGCATCAGAGGAGCAGCGGGCAGACAGCCTCCAGAGGGCGCCGCACGTGTCCCACTCGCCGCCCTTGCTGGATGGCCCTGAGTCCATGGGCTGGAGCACTGCTGAGTCGTTCGCGCCGTGTGGCACAATGTCGGGAGGGCCCGCGGTGTACGCGGTTTGCTCCTCCATGGAGCGGTCCTTCACAATTCTGAGGACGGATTCCCCAGAACGGTCGTACAGGGCGTCTTGGTCTGCCAAGCTGGCATCTGCCGCTGCCGCGCGTGTCTGCCCCATGGCGCCTGCTCCTCGCCAGAGTGGAGGCTTTTGCTGCAGCAATTGGACGGCGGGTGGAGGCTCATCCTGGCTGCTTGTTTCCTCCCCGGCATTACTGTGAGGTTTGCTACCCTTTGTGTCCTGCTTTACCTTTGGCTCCCGTTGGGCAGATGCAAATGAAGGCGAAGGGTTCCAATGTTGGGCAAGTGGATGCTGAGGCGATGTGGTTGGAGGCACGTCGGAGCTGATCCCGGCGGGCTGAAACGATGCTTCACGGGCAGCAGCGTTAGATGCTATGCCTTCTCCGCCTCCATGCTCTGGCGAGTCGGCATGCATTTCTTCAGTACACGCACGGTGTCCAGGAGTATCTTTGTTTATCTCTTTTCCTTCGTTTGCATTAGGGCTGTCGATTTCTGCCACCTTTGTTTCAGTCCCACTTGTTGTCCCATTAGAGACGCGATGATGGATGAACATTTCCCGCGACTCCTCTTCGCTGGGTACGCGTGGTGCACTCTTTTCCTGGGAACCACTCGCTGCCTCGGCGGTTCCCTGCTCGGGGAGTGGCCCACACCCCCTTTCTTTTGCATCGCTGGCGCCTTCCATAAGTTCTGCTTCGGTCCCTGCCCCACCGTCGTCATCGCACAGGCAGTGGTCACTGTTCTCCGATAGCCCAGGCGATTCGTGCCCAGACGCGACGGAAAGGTTGTTCAACGTGCCATCGCTGGCCTCCGCAACCATGTCGGAGTCGCGATGTCTGGTCCACATGGACAACCTATCCGTTGAGCAGCAGTCCTCGGTGTCAGAACACTGGGGGGTCGACACGCGGGGGGATATCGGCTGTTCGTACATGCTTCCCTTGATGGGCATGACGGACCTGGCAACCTCCTCGGAGCCCCGCAACGCCGTTTCCGACTTCGCAATGGTCTCTTCCACTAACTGCAACTGCGAATCGAACTCAGTTTCTGTGGTCCTGGGGACGACATGCCCGGCGACCATCGCTGCCGTAATCCCTATGCCGGAAATGACTTCCTTGGGGTTCAAGCCGGCAGTGCTGGATGCAACGGGCTCCACTGGATCATAGTCCGTGTCAGGCGTAGGCACCGAATTGGAGCTGGCCGGCGACGGCTCCAAGGCCCCGCTGCTGCCTCCCTCCACGTCGGAAGAAGACGAACCGAACATGTTCCACATTTCCAGAGGCTCGTCGGCCGACGGCCCCATTTCCACCTCCGGGCCCCGGCGCGGGTTCCCTCTCGCACCGTCGCTGGATGCTCCCTGCGTCGATTCCCAGGACCGTTTCCTTTCCTCTGCGAACCCCTCTTCGGCATCAGCAGATGTCGAGGCTGTCTGTCCAGCTCCTCTGTACATGTTCCACATTTCCAGAGGCTCCTCCGGCGTCAGCCCGAATTCCTCCACCGGGCACTCGTCCGCGCCCTGGCCCGCCGCGAAGGTAGAGATTCTCGGGGCCAAATGGGCTGGCGAGGTAGGCTCCAAGGGGGCGAAGTCCAGTGTCTCAGATCCCTGTGACCCCGTCCTGACCAGCATGGCGTGGCCCTCCAGTATCTCCCTCGCCAGCTCACTGGACGCACTCCTGCGTGGCGACTGGAACAGCGTCCCCAGGATGGACCCAGACACCCTCGACTGGTCGCCCTCTGCATCGGAAGACGTCCCCCAGAAGCCAACGTCTGCAGCGGATTTCGAGCGACGCGTCCTCGCCGCTTCTCCCCTGACGGACAGGCGAGCGACAGGGATGCCTGAGCCGCCCTGGCGCTGGAGGCTCTGGCCCCGGTGGGCGTCAACCACAGGGCTGGCGACGGAGGAGACGGAGACGTCCGACTTGTCGGAATTGGGCGTGGCTGTTCTGCCGAAACTGTCGACGCGGGTGCCGCCGCTCGGGCTTTGCCCCAGGCTGTCCCTCTTGGCCTGGAAGCGCTCCCTCAGTCCCATTCCCCCGACGGTGTTGCGCCTGGGCGGCTGGCTCGCGTTGCTGCGGCCGTTGGACGACATGCCGCCCCGGCGCCGTCGCAGTGGCCGCCGAAGAAGTATGTGCTTCTCAAAAGCTGCGCGAGGCTGCCGCCCTCAGTTGGCCGCCGCCGTGGCCCACCGACAAAAGGCGCTTGCCTTCCTCCGCTGCCTGGCGCACTTGCGTGTGCAGTTTCGTGCGCGGTCGACCTGAGAATCGCGCAAACCAACGAGTGAGTCCAACCAGCAGGCCAAGCAGCAATAGGGCACGTAGCCATGCGGATTGCCCACGGCTTGCGTTCTGGAATGCGTGTTCAAATGCGCAGTTCATCGGATTGGATAAACTCAACACTGTGGTTGCAACTGTACTCTAGAGCTCGAAATTGCATTATGATCCAATTGAGGCCCCGTGTGCATATATGGAAACGCACTTCCTGGCTGTGTTTCAACTAAGCAAGCGCATAAGAAGATTGCACTATTGCTCCATTTTACCGCATGTAGTGTAAGTCGCGCCCATACATCTTTAATCCAACATTCGAAATCCGCTGTGTTGCCTTCGGGCAACAGTGCACATTTGTAGGTATCGACAATCGCAATTTCCGATTCTTGACTCCCCTATACACTCCAGTGAGGAGATATGCAATGATCCATGGTGTAGCAACACCAGTCTCCCTGCGACGAGCATTCAAACGGGGCGGGAGCAGCCATGTGCTGAATTCCCAGGGAGATAGTCGGGCAACCTATCTCCACGGCACCCGAAGCCAAAAAAATATGAGGCCCCAGCGCACGGGTGATTTCTCAATGCCCCGACTTCTTTAAAAGCCCACAAGGCGGAATATGGGCCGCGGAATCGTTCCATCCCTCGCAGTCCCAATCCCTTCGTAGCGGGGAGACACGCAGGCACCAGCCACTGTTGCCCTTCCCGCTCATCCGCTCACCACACGGGCCTCAGTGTCGCAATACAAACGCCAACGCCTCCGGCCGGTCAGTGCAAGCCGGCCACCCACGCCCACCACCACCACCACGCGGACCAAAGCGCACAGAAACACCCGTCTAGAAACCACCCCGTTGGCCCCAACCCCCGCGCCGCGAGGGCAGCTCTTGCCGCCCGGCAGTCGAGCGGCGCCCCTCCGCCCCTTCGCTGCGAACAGCCCGCCAGTTTATCTCCACCAGGGATCCCGTCGCCGATACCAAAACTGGCCCAGCTCCGCCCTTCTCCCCGGGCAGTTCAGGGCACAACACCGCGACTACAACAACGCCTCTCACCGGCGTTGGGTACACGTATGCTGTGCGCGCCTCCCCACCCACGGCGTCCTCTCCGCGCCAGCAGGCGCCGCGACTTGTTGCTGCCTGCCGCCGGCGTCCAAGGCGACCCTGCGGCTTCGGCGCCCTCGCGGACGTCCCCGACGGCCCGTGGGCGGCCGGCCGCGCTCCAAGTCGTGCGCCCGGGCCGGTCGTCGGAACTGTCGTCATGTTCGATGGTAACGCACCAGTGAATGGTGGCGCACGGCCATTCAGCCCAATCCCGCCTGCCCACGTGGCTTGAAGTAAAAGGGCCGTGCAAGGTTTGGGACAACTTGAACGATGCGTTGACGGTTTCTTCGTGGGCGGGATAGGGGCCAGGCGCTGGCCCCCTGGCCTTGAGGCGCTGCGATTCTCTGTCGGTTGCATAAAGCGATCCTGTTCGGGGACCACTGGAAGCCTGATGGCGAGACAGGGAAATGTCTGTCGTCGATGATTGAGGCTCAATCAGTCGTGCCCGGCCTTGGGGAGGGACGTGGCACAATGCGCTAACGAATCACATCCCATTCCATCATTCGTCCGATCGAGAATTTCGAGCATTGGATCCTCCGGGTGCATACAAACAAAAGTTTGCCATCCGTGGCGCGATGCGTCAACGGAATGGCTCGTTGGCCTGGTGCTTTTTGCCATTGGTTATTTTGTGGTCAAGTCAAAATTTAATTTAGAAGACGTGGAAATGAGGTACCAGAGACAGAACCACACCCCATCGCCATTGCTGGCACTGGCGGGTTCCCGTCCCACTCCTTCCGCTATGGCCAGCGCCGGCGCCACTCGGGCACCGGCGACCTGCCCCTGCCCCCACCCCGGGCGCCTCCACCCCCCAAGGACCTCCCCATGGCCGCGCCATTGCAACGCCATCCATCCGCGCATCCCTCCCCAGGCCATTCCCCCGATCGGGCCCTCCGATGCCAATGCCGCCACGGGCGACAGGGCGTGGCATCGCTGCGCCAGCGCCCTGCAAGAGGGAAGCGTCACGGAAGCTTCAGGGCAGAAGGAGGAGGAGAAGGTGCCGATGGCCACGGTGTCGCAGCTGGGGCCGTCCGCTTCCAGCGAGTGGGAGGTGGATTTTTGCTCCAGGCCGCTGCTGGACGAGCGGGGCAAGAAGGTGTGGGAGCTGCTGGTGTGCAACGCCGACCGCAGCTTCCAGCACTCGGAGTACTTTCCCAACAACAAGATCAACAGCAAGGAGGTGCGTGGAAGAGCCTGCATTCGGAGGCGTCTGATCGCGAAGCCTCGGGTGGTAGACTTCCGTCCGGCGGCCGACTGCGGTGATTGTGGTAGAAAGGAGGAGCGGGTCCTGGAGCGGACACATGCGCACACGCCCATTTTACTTTTGGTGGCGTTGGACAGGCTGCATCACGGAAGCCTTGAGGCATGTTGGGGAGAGGGGGGAGAGGGAGGCCATGCAGGACTTGTTCTGACATCTTTAAGCATGTCACAAGCAGAGACACTCCCAGCCATGTTTTGAGTCACAGTATCAGGCTTGTGAACGAGAGGGAATGAGAAATGTGATTGTGGGGTGACACCGCCGTGTGTCCATTCAGCTTGCAAAGGCCTTCCAGGCGATCTTGTCCAGGGAGGGCAGTGTTGTGCCGCTGAGAGCTAGGTACTTCCGGGGTCAAATGAAGACAATTATCACGCGAGCTTTGGACGACCTTGGGATCGAGGCAGTGCCCAGTCGAAGGTGCTTTGCCGTGATGGGTATGTCTGGCCTTGCAGCCTGTAATGTGTTGCTTGCGCAGTTTCCACTGTTGTGTTTCTCAGCCCCTTTAACCCACCCAGTATGAGTAGCTCTGTGCCAGTCCGACAGCCAGTTGTAGAGAACTCACTGAAAGGAAGCAAAGTTCACCATTTCAAACTGTTATTGTCACCTGGGATGTGTGTATGAAAAGCGACTGCCTTGCTTCTGCTGTTGCACAATGGTTTGTACAAAGAGTCCATGCTATGTGGCACTGTGTCTCCAAGCTGTTGTTGTTGTTATCAAGCTGGTGTTGATGTTAAACACCACATTGCATTGTGTCTATGTATTAAGCCAGCAAACCTCCAGTGTGTACGCATCGATGATGTCATCGATAATAATTGATGATGATATATGATGTGTCTCATCCTGTAAATAATGCCATCATTGTTCACATGAGCGTGATGGTGAGCTGAGTGCTGTGTGGAAGGCAGGATGGCTACAGGAGAGGCAGGAGAATGTGTACAAGAATGATCCGCGATACAGTGAGAAAGCACAGACACTGTTCACATTCGACTTGGCTGCCCCTGAGGTGTGCATGGGAACAATTGCTGCCTCTATAGAGGTCTGCAGTTGTATTGCTTTTTCCATCTTGCAATCTTTGTTGCTGGGGTTCGGATTTGATCAGAAAATGATGTTGGACTATGTAATCTTTCAATGGTGTTGTCAACCTTGGACTTTCTTGGGTGAAATGTTGACAGTTGGTGACAGACAGTTGGTGCTTTATGCAGCTCAAAAATCCACAGGCAGAAAAGCTGCGATGTTTCTGGTGTACTTCATGCTTTAGGCATGCTGACACAGATTGCTACTTTCGAAACACAGGCGCTCCCCGATGCTTACCGTGCGGAGGCGTGGAACTTTGTGCAGCTGCCACTGGGCACTTTGCTAGAAGAGCTGAAAGAAGTTGAAAAGGTGGGCGACAGTTCCTGACTTTGTGGCATACAATTCTTTATTCAGCGGGTGCTGAATTCAGCTGACAATGAGCAGCCTGCAACAGGAGGGCATTTGTGCGGATATGTGCAGTGTTGCAGCACACATTGAAGTCGCTGCTGTTGTTGCCTGCTGCACATACGCCCCTTGCAAAAGGTGGCAGCGTTTGGCCACACTAGCACTCATGGGGCTATTGGCTACACAATTGTATGCCAAAGTCTTTCAGTCAACGGCCAGTCTGTTGTGCAGTCGATCACACTTGTTGACAGTTCATACCCAGGCACATCAAGGCTATTAAGGGCATGGTGTACATCCTCATTGTATTGTCCCTAAATGGTGGTATGAACCCCAGCCACCAGAGCAACCAGAGGTCATCAGTATGCAATGATGGGGAAAAGAATAAACAATCGCTTGTAGATTGATATTGGCAACTAGCATAGATGTACTGAACATGCACACAGAGGCGTATAGCAAGTGTATTGCCAAACAATTCACCCTAGCCATTGTGTTTCCCAATTGTGCCGAGCAATCTGATCCTGAATTTGCCAGTCCATGGGCTAAACTACGGAACCGCATTGTGTGGTGTGGGGGAATCTTGCAGAAGACATTGCTGAGAGCTGATGCGAGCTGATTCGTTGGTGCGAATTACTGCACGAAGCAAGCCACTGTGCATCAAGGCCATGTGTTCACTGCTAATAAGTGCAGTCAATAACTTGAATGCCATTGGGACCTACTCGGCCAAAAGGTCCCTTCTGAAAAGTGAGGTGCTGTTTCAGCTGCATGCTGGGATTCTGTTATGCAGTACAGCAGACATCACTGCCTCTTATGCTGAAGTGAAGTTTCGTGCAAAATGCACATTAATGCAAGTCTTGCAATCATTGTGTGAGTACAGACATCATAAGCTGGAAAACTTCTCCACCATACAACACTCTTGTGTTGCAGTATGCTGTCTGGCAGGGTACCCCTGATGCATCCCCATCAATACAGGTACCTCCCAGAGTGTGGGACATCTCATTGTGTTGGCCTGAGTGATTGCTTCCATGTGTGCCCTCAGTAGAGGAATTACTTTGGTGCGACAATATCACTCAGCGACGTTGGTCTCAGTGGGTTGCCTGATGACACTCTCATACCAGGTTTGTTGTGTGGAGAAAGGCGGAACCAATATGCCTTGATTTGCAGTGTTGCCTGTATTCATGGGCAGGTATGAGGTCTTTCGCATTTGATATCTGTGAGTTCTTGAGTTCTTCTTCTGTGAGTTCTGTGCAATGGTGTTTGTTTGCTTCTGGAAGTGGTTGCATCACTTGGGCCAGTAGGGGTGCTGGTTGTTGCCTTGCTCGATTCGCTTTGAATCAATAACATCTCCACGGAGTGCAGTATTATGCAACAATTGCATTATTGCAAATAGAAATTCTAGATAATGCTGGTGTGATATGTTTGCCATGGCGGCATTGTTTGCCTGTTATGTTGGATTGTTTCAGTGCAATGTTTACTATTTCAGTATGCTATAATGCCATTGTCTATCGTCTATTCTGGAAGCCAGTAAGAACAGCATCACCTGGCAGTGCCAAATTATCCTGCATCGAAGTTGTTTCACTCTTCAATGCATATGTTAATGCTCATTCCTGGACATGTCAATTAGCATGAACATTTAGAGCAGTCTAGGAAGGTTATAGCTGACATCTGGCACAGCTGCCACATTGACACCATGACTCTCTCAGTTGTGTGCCTGATCACCTCACAGCTGTCTTTAATATAATGCAACATATTTAATGGGCACAGACAGTTGGGGGCTACTGCGCCTGGGTACCACCAATTGTGGACCTCTCTGTTATTGTGTATGTCCCCATATACACTGCAATCGAACTTGCAAGCACATCAGAGGTGTACACACCCATGATCTCAAGATCGCTCACATAACAACCCACAGAGTGTTCTGGAGGAACCATACTGTATACCGATCATGCTGCTGTGCTTCATAGTGTTCTGCAGCACAGCGATCCTGGGGTTTCCCTTACAAGTTCATGTCGATGCACCAACATTCTGGAATGGTATGTGTGGATGCCATTGCTGCTCATCATCAGTTTGCACGTGCAGAGGGCTGGTTCTCACAAATGTTTGTCATACACTGCTAAAGTATTAATGCCACTGAGCGCTCTGGGGCCAGGTGTTTCTCTGTACAGCCGACGGGCTGAGCCGCTGGCGGCTTGGATGAATGGCTTGGAAATCGCCACAGTCTGCGCTGACATTGATCGGGCCTGCCTTATTCTGGATACTGGTGTGAATGAGCGTTATGTGTATGCGGCGTACACGAGAACAGACAGCACGACAGCAGAGGCCCTTGCCTGGGAACAAGCCAAGGAGGCAGCAAGGTGTGTGATCACTTTAGCAGAAAGGAAAGAAGACAGAAAGTGGAGCCAGAAAGAAATTTATTGGAAGGGTATAAGACAATGGAGAGTGCTCTCATGACACTGTGTACTCTTCGGTGATTTATACTTGTCGACTTTAATGAGCAGTACCCTTGCTCGTAGTACAGTGTGTAGACAGCAGAAATGTGTCCCAAGGTGCTGTCTCCATTTTGCCAAGTTCGAAACTAAGCACCTAACGTTGTGGCCAGCAGCTTTGTGCAGGCATCCGGCATGCAGTTTGCAGAGTGCGATGCTGCAGGTTGCCGATCATGTGAAGATGGGCTGACCTCGGGTTGCTGTTATTCACCGCATCTGCGCCAGCCTTCTGCCAATGTAGATGCTGCAATGGAGTCATTGTCGTTTGCTCAGTTGCATTTGGTTGGAGGGACAGTATTTGGCTTCCTGTGTGGTCATGCTGCCGTGTCCCATGAACATCCAGGCATTGCTCATCGACTGCTGGCCAGGTTTGGGTTGCCAATGAAAGCATCTCGCCTGCTACTGCCGTACTCCATGCTTCCCACACACTTCGAAGTACATGCCAACTGGCCACTTGTTGCCGAGAAATTGACGTGTCCGATTGGGGGTGCTGAACAGAATCCCTTTGTCTGTGCAGGGGACTCCACTTTTTGGCTGTTCAGGCTGACCCAGATGCCGAGATAAGCTCCGGATTGTGGCTGCTCCTGCAACGCGAAATGCCAAACTAGGGCTTGGGCATTTGTGTAACACACCTAGTGACTTTTTGTAGAGAACTGTGGGTGTAACTATTCATCCCCATTGATGTTATGTCATTGTTGTCGTTGTTATGTTTTCTGTTTTTATACATTGTTGTTGCTGTTATTCAACTGCAGGGAGTTGCTAGCCATGAAAGTGTGTCATCTGCTTCTCCCAGGCATGTACTGCAAATGAAGTTGGTTTCAACATCCCAGCCCATTTTGGGCCTGCATCCAACTACCAGACAAAATCCAGCCCAATGCTGGAGAGGCCCTGTCCAAGGCGCTTGAGGCTGCTGCAGACAAACATCCACTCGCATCAGGGCTGCTGTCAATCAGGAATTAGAACACGGTGTCCTACTGGGCTATTCTCACAGCGCATGTCGCCGTGTCCACTAGCAGTCAATCCCCTGGGCGACCCATCAATACTTGCAAACTACAGAAGAACTGCAGGAGCTTTGTTTGGTCATGGAATTTGACAAGTGTAACCGACGCAATACAGTAGGCTGCAGGATTGTGGGTTGTTGTGTGGTGAAACGCAGACAGAATTTGTTCTGAAACCGACGTGGTCCTGGTTATAGGCTTTCTTTATTCCGAAATAACACATTCAAGATGTTTGTTCTGTTGGTGGGTGACTTTGCGAGTGACTGCAACTGTTGGGACAAGACAACGTACATATTGCTCTTGCTTGGCAGCGTGACATGTTGCTCTTGCTTAGCAGTGTGACGACATAGCTCTCGGCAGTTGAAATTCATCGAATACAATCATATTATAATCATTGCCAGCACTACCATGCATGCCGCAGTGTCCACTCCCACGTATGTCTGACACCCTTCGTTTCCGGTGGTTAAGCCATGAACATCACAAAGTCATGAAGGTCATTTCCGGGTATAGGGCGTTATAGATTTTAGGGTTTCAGACCCCCAGTCCCCTTCATGACCTTCACGTCCGCTTCATGACCATCGTGTCCCCTTCATGACCGTGATATCCAGTAATGATGGGGCGGCGGACAATACTCTCCACTCCGGAAGCAAGCACCTGCAAACCCGCTGGTATCGTGGTTTCCAAGCTGGTTTAGGTTAGGGGCAAGCCGGAACGGCACTTGGTGCATGCATTCACCATTCACGGTTGCGCTAGTGTGCCAGCATTCACCCCCTTCGCCCTTGGACACCTAGCCAGCTCGCGCGGCCAAGCCGTCGCCCTCGCACGCACGGATGGCACTGCGGCGCCGCGCCGCAGCGGCCCCTCTTGACTTCCGATTCCACCGACCGGATGCCTTGGCCAAGCTGTGCCGCTACCTGTCCCTGGCCCTGCTGTGCCTCGCGGCATTTGCTGACCACCTCCTGCGGGCCCTGCGCCCTGTGCTGGTGGTGCTTGCTGCGGGTCGATTCCGCGAACGGAAGACTGGATGCGCTACCGCGGGCTCTCGCGGCGTGAAGCCCAAGCCGCCGCGGGTGGCGTCGATCGTGGTGGCAGAGACGCGCGAGGAGCGCATCTCTTGGGCCAGGATTGCGGACTTGATCGTCTGGTGCGGACAGGCGGGGATGAGATACGTGTTCGTCTACGATCCCAGAGGTGGGCGGGGGATGCGTGGACGGCTTGGAGGCCTTGATTGGCCGGTCCGCTTGTGTCCCGGCCGTGTTGTCTGCGTACGGAAGAACATGGACAATGAACAGTACAGTGTCGAGTCTTCCTGGCGGTAGCTGAGCTGTTGCATTGACAATATGTTAGGACAGGCGGTTTCAAGCCAGCCAACGCACATGCGTGGAAGAGCCAGAATTTGTTCCTGTCGTCCCCAATGGTTCAGTTGTGTTTTAGCGCAAGGCTCTCCCCTGGCAAGAGCTGTGCATGCCTCCTGAGAGAAAACCAACCTTGTGGGCAGGGTGCACTGACTCCCAATTGGGCCGGCCTGGACTCCCGTGACTGCCTTAAAGCTTGTGTGCATGGAAACTGTCGAGTGGGGCCAAAGTTCCAATATCAAGTATCCTGGCAGCCATTGCACGATTGCCCACACTGTTTGCACGGAGCTTGAGCCTGCACTCTGGATTGCCATGCCAGGTCTGGCAAAGGAAAATCCAGAGGGTATTGCTGGCGCTCTGAAAATCGCAAACAAGCAGGGAGGGTGGGACATCAGATGGACATTTGGATGGGACACGCACCAAAGTATCCTAAAGCCTGATGGAGTTTTCATCGCCCAGAACGGCCAATCGATTGATAAGGAACTGCGTGGTGCGTGAGCCTCGATTTGACATTTTTCTGCTGTGCTTGCAGCTGCTCTTCATACAGCGCTCATTTGTAAAACTGAATGGAATTGTGTTTGCAAGGAGCAGACGTGAAAGTGGAGCCATGGGCTGAGTCTTCCACTCCTTGTGGTTCTCACGGAACTATCTGTTGCCTGTGCATTTTCGGGTCCTTGACTTGATGGGCAGTTTCCGCTGGTTAAAAGAGTGTAGCGCAAGGTCTGTTGTGGCATCTACAATATTTGTCCTTGTCTTTCAGTATGTACATGTCTGTGTTTAACCAATTCAAAGCCAGATTTGAACTAGTACTGTAGTTTATAGTGCAACACGGTCACCAAGAAGTGTTCAGCTGCAGGCTGAAGTATGTGTCTTGCTTGTTTGTTTGTCTGCTAGGCTATCATGCCAACAACAAGTCTGTTGATTTCTAGGCAATTTCGACTAAACAGATGATTGTGAACACTGTTTGCATGATATATCACTGTTCTGTTCAGCACAGTTGATGCCACTATGTGTTGTGCAAAGTCATTGTTGAAGAGTCCAGTTTGACAAAAGAATCATTGCTTTCACTTTGGGATGTTTGGCACATAGGTGATGGATGTGTCTATGTTTGCAAGTGCATATTTCCAGGCAGCCACGTGTTGCCAAGCAATATTGAAGATTAACAGGCTGCTGCACTGTGCAGATCATGGAAAGCAACACGTTATTCCCCAAGACCACTTAGTTCTGCACATCCTCTCTCGCCAGGACTCGGTAGCTCCTGTTCTGAAGGCTGTGATGCACTCAAGAAGTGCATCAGAGGATGCACCCCCACTGTGTGACTCAGCTGATAGTCTTGAGCTTCCGCACAGGGCTGAAGCATCAATTGGCTATTGTCTGCATGTGCGCGCAGACTCCAACAATGCGCTCTTGCAACAGCCCCAGGATCGTAGCATGGGTTCTGGACATACAGAAGATGCCGCTGCCCTTCCCTCTCAGGTATGTCTGGAGGAAACAAGTCCCAAAACAGTGCAGCATTCAAACAGCAGCACAAATGCACCACGGAGTGCACTGAAGCCTCACTTGTTGAGGTCACAAATACAGGAAACTGTCTGCGAATCGGCAGTCCTGGAGCCAGAGATCATGTTCGTGGTGGGAGGTGCCTTGTCTCTGTCTGGCTGCCCGCCCTGGCATGCGCGGTTCAGTGAGATATACTATCTTGGGGCACTGACAGGCATCACAAAGAAGAATTTTGAGAGTGCGCTCAGCAGATACATGGGGACTGAGCAGCGATTCGGTGTATAGCTGCTGCTTTTTGGACTGCAAGCGTTGTCTTCTCGATTCGGTTCCTGGGAATTGTCTTGAAACATGTAACGAATCGGAAGCCAAGACTAGTGAATTGATGATATGAACGAATGGAAAGAAGAGCAGAGAATGCTGGGCGTGGCAGTATCGGGAACGTTTCAAGAGCTAACCCTATTCTGTTGAAGGGACCCAGCCCTTCTTTTTGTCGTTGGTTGCCTGGCCTCACCTTGGCAGCTTGTCTAACACAGAAGGAATTCAAGCACACATGCAGGAAACTTGCAGCACAACAGTTTTCAAACAAGATCCATGTGTACATGAACATAGTCTACCCAATCGAGTGTGCAGCGTTGTGCCCACCTCAGCCCATCTCCAATGTCCAAAGGCAGAGGTTTGTTCACACCTTCAATCAACTGTTCAGAATTCATCTTTGTGTCAAGAAAGTAGTTTTGGTGGTGCTTATCTGCGCTGCAAGACTAGAACAAGGAGCACCATATCAGCAGGCATGCGATGTTTTAACCTGGAAGTTGGGGTCCCCATCAGTGATTCTGACTGGTCTTGACAGCACCAGATGTTGCATCGGCAATGGGGTGTCGAGTTGTGTTGGCTACATGGCTACAACTGATGCATGTTTCCATGGATGTCTAGAAGCATGGATGTTCAAAACGGAAGAAAAGTGTTGGTACAAGCACTGGTATCGCTGAACGCCCAGCTGTGCCTTCTGTGCCAGTTCGTATTTCAGTGTTGTTGCGTATGTTCGTTCCCAACCAATCTACCCTGCCCACATCTGTCCAAAGAATAAATTCCTCAAGCTATTCCACACCACCCATATCTGTCCAAAGGCGCTGTCCAACCAAAGGGAGTCTTGAGGACAACTTGCTAGATTTGTCGGCAATTTGTGCACTAAATACGCCCCAGGCCACTGCCCAGCTTATCGTTAGATACCTCCCATCAGCAACGTGTCGCCCAATCCCGAGTGCCGCTGCGAGGGCCTTCTCCTCCATTCCGCAAGCCGCGATAAGCATGTTGCGCCGGCACGGGCGCCACTCCATTCTGAACGATCAATAGTAGGCGATGAATGCCTGAGCACCGACCAAAACTGCCGCAAGTGCATTTGCTGGCTTCTGCGAGTAGACGAAATGATGACGGTGTGGCCCACAGTCGGCAAATCAGGGCGGCGTGGTGGCCTCTCACCAGCCTCGGCATCCCGTGCAACAGCAGGTTCTCCTTCACGGCGCGGCGTCCCGACGCGAGCCATCGCGCAGGGCCCTGATCTCCGCGTCGGCACCGAACTTCTGCTTGTACGCCTCGGTCTGCTGAAGCTGCCACATGTGGACCTGCAGGCCCGCCGCCCAGGCGATCAGCGCCAGGGGTATGCCCACGCGCCACACCAGGGGGTTGGCACGAATCCCCATTGGCAGGCAGCAACAATGGGCCGAGCGCCGGGAAGGAAATAATATTACTGCCTGCACCAAATCGGTGGCTGCTTGCACCAAGTCACGTGCACACTTTGTCCTAACCTCAATTTTAGGGTTAGGTTTAGTTTCAGGGTGAGTTTTAGGGTTAGGGTTAGGGTTAGGACAGGTTTAGGTTTAGGTTTTAGGTTAGGTTAGTTTGGACGGAGTTGGACATGATGTGCACGTGACTTGGTGCAAGAAGTCACCGATTTGGTGCAGCCAGTAATTTTATGCCGCCGGGAAGGCGCAACAAATTACGAGCGACACGTTTTCGGTGCAGTAACTATCATCAAGAACTCTGACACATCCAGGCGAGGAGGCAGCCATCAGCCCCTTATTTCGCCCGAGCAAAGCGGCGTCCGTGACTTGAATCATGAGAAACTAAGGTATTGGCACAGCCTAACCACTGAGTTACTGTGCATCAGAACACTGACAAAGGCAGGCAGGGTCGAGGGGTGGCGACCGCTGACTGGGGCCGCAGGCTCGAGTACACTGCAACGGTTTACAGCACAGCAAAGGGACGACGGGAGTTACGTCCCTTGCATCCAGTCCGTTCATCATTGTCCTTAATGCAATTCCTAATGTCTCATCACCTCTTTATGCGTTCAGCTGTTGATAATACTCGATCAGTTCTGGTTACAACTAAGCTTGATTTTTACGTTCACATTTATGGTTTTACACGTAAAAACGTAAATTTGTGAGAGGGGCTATTTTACGCTTATTTTTTTACGGTTTTGCGGCTCTTTGGGACATCTAGGTTACACGTTGAAAGTCGCGTACAATGATCAGTCGTCCGCCATCTCCAGCACCCGTAGCACAGTGTCCACCTCGCCCATTTTTATAAGGCAACGATTGCGTGGAACAAAAGTTCACTTTCTACCTATTCCAGCGCGTCTGTCTGTCACTCGCCGGACTCCCTAAGTCTGTGTGTACTGTCCTTATATACACGGGGCTGTATTTGCGTTGTATTTACGTATTTTTTCGCGTTTTTCTGCGTAAAAAAGCAGAAACTATTTTTACATGTAAAATCGTGAGTACGATCAGTTTTTACGGCGTAAAAACCAAGCCTGATTACAACAACACGCAAATTCGCAAATTCGGAATTCGGATTTGGTGCAATCATTTCTACACAAGGTTGTAAAAGGCGTCATGTCGTTCAGCATTCATGATTGTTTTCGACATCTTCTCCAGCCGCCGGCCGAGCCTAGGTAGGGGGGCATGGGAGGGTGTGCGCTTCTATGCCGAGCGGTTTCACAGTCGAACATTCTCCTGTTGAATCTTTTTGGTCGATTTTTTTCCTAGATTTTTCAACCTGATTGTTTCACCTCGCAGGTGCTCGCTGGAGCACCCAGGGCTGGACATTGTGTTGGGTATCATCTTCCCCACTGCCAAAGTTCCTTGGCCATCCTGGTTCGAGATCATGCACGTCGCAATTAAATGCGCGCAGCGATGGGCCACAACGCAGCCCAAGTCAAACCCTTTTGGTTCGACCTCTGTGGCAACCTTGGTGCACGCGGTGCTCAAGTGCACTCGCCGTGCATGGTCGGACAAGCAGCCAAGACTCAACTTGTCTTACAACCAAACCAAGAGAAGCCACGAACAACTCTCAGGCTCTATTTAAATACCAGAATGCGCCTCTCTTTTCGCCCACCAGAACTCACACTCAGAACGGCAGACTGAACTCACACTTCACACATGCACAACACGCTATCCCACAGCACCGACCCATAGCATCGACCCGCGGCACCAACCCACAGTTCCAACCCATAGCACCAACCCACGATCAGCAAAATTAGTAAGATTGAAGCTGATTGTTCGCCAGCCGTCCTCCGGCCATCTCAATCAGGTCAATGTGTACACCAATGGTGGTGGAAATCCGTTGCAATTACATTTGCCAAAACCATGGCAAAGCAAGCCCTGTCACCAAGCTGGCGATGGCGGCATTGGTGTACACCAGTCAGCCAGGACATGACCAGGTGCTTGGACAACATGGCAGCTGAGGCTGTCTTGGTGTGACAGGCTTTCACCTCTTTTAAATTAGCTCTTTAATCGCATTGAGTTCCACTCCACATCAGCGTTCAGCCACCGACCTCCAGTAATGAGAACTGGGAAGTTGCACGTGAAACATCGAGAAAAGGTGACAGCATTCCAAGATATTGCTGATGGCATTCCTCGAAACGGGATTCTCATATGCCACCACTTAACCATTGGATTACAAATCATTCATTGAT